AGACTCCCTGCCCTTCAGGGGCTTGAGACTCTTTGCTGAAACATCTGAAACAGCTGCACCACTCATTTTGGCATCAATCATAATCTACTTTATACTGTTATCTAATTGTATGTGCACATACATTATTTTTAGAAAAATTAACTCCCAAAGGACAGAGTTCCTATTACTATTCATACTGCAGAGTTAAGCAAGGAAGTGAGCATAGAATAAAATCTAAAATATTTATTAGATTACTTTCTGCCAAGACAGACAGACATACATATATATATTCTATGGCCCCAGGTCTTTAAACCTGGGAATAGTTTTGAGATGAGCTTGTAACGTAAAATAAATGTGATGTATGGTGCACACGACTTCAGATCAGAATATAACAAAGTACCTCTTAGCACAATTAAAAAACAAACCTCTGCATTTCTCTCTATGTACTTCAGCACAAAAAGAGGTCATAAAAATTTAAAGAGCAGCTAAAATTATTAAGAGGAAGAACTGAAGTACAATTAAAATAGCTAATTATATCAGGCAAATGGTGATATGGGGGAAAAGTTGCAATCAGGCTATCTGCTCAATAAGAAAGCTAAGGATAATTGTGAGATCATTTTCATGGACAGTGAGGAACAGTGGAACAGGAATACCTTCCTGGGAGGCAACTCCAGGAGACTAAAAACAGGACAGGGTAAATCTCTGGAGTCCACATGATTTCAGGGAATCTCACTGAGTGTTATCTAGTCTGATCATGAACTGTAATAGAGTGGAGGAGATCTCACATAATGGGGAACTAACGTAACTGAAGCATGCCGCAGTCTTGTGGCTCTCAACAGAAGCATGACAGGGCTCTGCTGTTAAGGTCACATGAATTTAATTTGCAAAAAGGTAGGTTAGGAAGCTCAATCATAACTTTAGAAGATTACAAATGGCACATACACGTTGAACCTAGATTTTTTTTCCTCTTTGAAATTTAACATTTGGCTGTCTTTAGATACTTTAACAAGGTACCCACTTTATACCAATCATATGGGAACACATTACACAGTAGAGAGACGGTAGAGCAAAGTGACATGAGTTTTGGAACTCAGACTGCCTGTGTTCAAAACCTAGCTCTGCCACATACCAGCTGTGTGACTTGGAGCAAATTTCTTAACTCCCTTTGTCTGAGGCTTCTAAATTGAAAAATGAAGGTAAGAGCAGGAACTCTCTCACAAAGATATGGTAAAGATTCTAACACATGCAAAGTACTCAGAAACAAAGGGTCCAGCCCACTGTAAATTCTCATGGCTATTAATATACTTCTATAATTCTTACAAAAATCAGGAAATAAATTGATTTTTTAAAGTTTCAATATATTCAGGAATGGGAAATCGATATATGGAAGCTAACAAAACTGGGATATATCCAGGTTATATATAAGGTTAGTGGTATCTTAATGGGATAAACCAGCAAAGCAACGATCACTGTGTAAATTTTCAACTTTAGAAAGTATAGCTATTAGTTTTGCTGTTATTTTTTCCAAAAGGTTTAAAAGAAACATGAAAAAAGAGCAAAGAGAAAGAAGAGTTAGATGTGATGTGAGTTAGGTGATATCCTCAGAAACATTATTGTAACAGGATGTGCCAAAGTAGTAAAGTTGCCCTGGTTGGCTGAGTCTTCCTAGGATTTCACATCTATTTAAAAGGGTTTATTACTTCACCTTCACTTATGGCCCTTTCCCCTTCACCCAGTGTACTCTACAAAGGCCTGCTTTCAGTTCCAGTACCAGGAGGACTCTGAACTTTCTCCTGCCTCCAGGCCTTGGCAGGTTGCTTCCTCTTCTACCTGCACTACTGTGACTCTCTGATTGGCCTCCAGAGGCTACTTCTTCCTCATCCTACCTCATATCCTTATTTAAAATACCTCTGGTTATCTTCAATCTCATTACCCAGTTAGCTTCCTGCACAGCACATATCACAATTTTTATTTATTTTATGCTTGTATATGTGCTTATTTTTAATGTCTCTCACACAAACTATCTCTACCGCAGTGAACAACATCATTGTTCATTCTAACATCTTCAATTAACACACAGGACATAGTAGACACTCAAATATCTGTTGAATGAATGAAACAATGATCCCTAAGGTCCCTTTAAACTAAAAAGTAACAGATCAAAAACATATAGTGTAAAGGGAGAGACTTTTTATTTACAGATCTAGGCAGTATCTAAGTGTTGCCTCACTATGAGCAAACTAAACAAATGGCTTCATTCCAAAAAGTTTAGTTAGAACTTGATTTATATAATCTAGCACCTTCCTCAAACTGTGCCTTTGTTAGTTTTACTTTCGAATTTGCCTTATTATTTTTTTCAGTGCTGGGGATTGAATTTAGGGCCTCAAGCACTCTACTACTGAGCTATACTCCTAGCCCTACCTTACTCGTTTCAACAACTTCAGTCCAATAATGAATGGGTTGGCTACCTAAAAATTATATGTAATATAAGTACATATATAACAGCATCCAATCCCTCCCCAGTACAAATAATAAAAATTATATAAAAATACATATTTATGTTCCAAAACTCCAGGAAATTCTGATTTAGTACTTGAAGTATGGCTCTAGAATCCATATATTTAAAACTTTCCTTAATTTAAATAGATAATATGTATACATAGTACAGGATTCAAACAGTAAGAAAAAGCACTTGTGGTTCCCCCCACCCTCTTTCATCAAGTTCCTCTTTCCATAAGCTGCCACTATTACCAACTTCTGTATACTTCCAGATAAGTATTTTCCTAAGCAAGCACATGTATATCCTTTGCTTTAAACACACACATGCACATTTAAAGAACTGTTTTAATCTTAGTTATTTTCTTATCTCATTTAACAACGTATGTTGAAAATGAAGGGGTTTGGGGGCTGGGGCTCAGAGGTAGCACACTTGCCTGGCATGTGTGAAGCACTGGTTCGATTCTCAGCATCATGTAAAATAAATAAAAGTCTATCAACAACTAAAAAAAAAAAAATTAAAAAAAAAGAAAATAAAAGGGTTTTGTTTGTTTTTGTTTTATTTTGTAGTGTTGGGATTGAACCCAGGGCCTTGTACATGCTAAGTGTTCTGCCACTGAGCTATATCCCAGACTGGTAACTATATTTTTTACAAGCACTGTAGATGATTCTGATGTGAAGCCAAATATAGAAACCACTCACTAGCCTAGAGTTGAGGGATTAAGTTCAACTCACTATGACACATTAAAAACTCAAGGACTGGCTGCGGATGTGGCTCAAGAGGTAGCGCGCTCGCCTGCCATGCGTGCGGCCAGGGTTCGATCCTCAGCACCACATACCAACAAAGATGTTGTGTCCACCAAAGATTTAAAATAAATAAATTAAAAAAAAATAAAAATAAAATAAAATAAAAACTCAAGGACATTGAAAAGATGCAAGTAGTCATACTTTCCTGACCTCTGCCCCCTTGCCTCCCAGAGATAAATCAAATCTTTCTCCAATGTCTCCATTGAAGCCAGGAAACACAAGCCATTTAAATGGATGTTGCCCAAACTGTTAAATTTTCAATTCCTGAATTCCTTTCCTGCCCATTATTACCTGAAATTACAAACCTGACAATTTCTATGTGACACAAGACATTTTGGTATTTGGATAGAAATGAGGTTTGATCTACACGGAAACAAGCGCTGACTTTTTCTCCCAGCATTAACGTAGTTTAACGGGGCACAATTGCAATACTTTCCTTACTAATCCTTACTCATACAACAGCATCCAATTCCTCCCCAGTACAAAAGCAATTAACTTTGAAAATGCTGAGAGAAGACTGCATTGCCAGGCCGAACTTTGTGAATTCTGAAGTTCGGGCTCTTGTTAACCTGACTTGACCTCTACCTTGGGGGAGATGGTTGGGCCCTTCTGTGCAGCTCTTGTTCTTCCTTCTCATCTACCTCAGAGATGCAGAGGGAGTTTACTTTTGACACGGAGGGAAGGCTCTCCGAGGGCCACCCGAGAATCTCCTCCGCAGTGTCCCTTTCACCACGAGGGGCACCACGCGGGAGGCATCCTCACCTTCCCTACACCGCGCCAAGGAAAGAAGAGTGTACAGGGCTTCCAGGAGAGGAACCTGCCAGGATCTAGCTGGCTTACCTCACCCCTAATCGAAGGGCCCCTGGTGGGCTGCGTTTCTTTCCAAGCCCCAGGAATGGGTAGGGCATGACTCCCATCCCTTCTCCCTGGATCATACGCGAAGATGGGAAAACGGGGCTCTGCGAGCCCAAACCGAGACCCATCCCTCTCCACCCCGCCTTTCCTTCCAACCTCTGGGCCCTGCGTCTCCCCCTGAATAATGCCCACCTCTCCCCCACCATGGCCGGCCGGCGTCCTCTTGCCTGGCTCCTGCCTTCCTTCCCACCTGACCCCAGCCCCCTCACCCAGCATGATGGGGCTGAGCCGCCGGGCCAAGCCCTTGGACAGGTCGTACACGTAGAGCTTCACCGGATAGAGATTCGGCGGCTCCATTGGGACCCGTGGCGGCGGCCACGATGGCCCTCGGGCACCCGGCAGCGGCTTGGACCTTCCCGTACCCGACGGGGGTGGGGAGAGGAGGGAGCCGGGGGACCGAGCCCGGGCCCGGCCTGAGGGGCGGGGGAGAGGCCGCCCTGCGCTGCTCGCGCCCCCACACCCGCTACTGGCAACGACTACTGTGAGGTGACAGAGGGGGGACTGGGAGGATCCGTACTGAAGAGGGGGCGGGGGCGGGACACACACTTTCGCGCATGTGCGTACCGTCTTGAGGGCGCCGGGGGCGTGGCTTAAAGGGGCGGGGCTTCCGCTCAGCATTGGCTTTAGGTAGAGACCCTCGTGGAAGCGGGGTTGTGGAAGTGGGCGTGTCAACATGACGGGAAGAAGGGCGCGCTGTGCGTGATGACGTAAAAGGCGTTGATTGGGGGAGCGAGCGGAAGTTAGAGCGTACGTGCTGCCCGCCTTCTGTAAAAGTTTATCTCTTCTTTGCTGCAAAGGTAGGCTGGAGGCGCTCTGAGTGTGTTGCCCGCCGGCCTGGGCTGTCCTCGTCCAGTTTCATCCAGTCTCGAGCGCCCCGCTAGCCTTGCGGTGGGGCAGCGCCCACCGCCAGTGTGCAAACCTGAGGGTAGAGACAGCCTCTGGACTCCCCTTCTTCTCCGCGGGAGGCGGCTTCCGGCCTCGGAGGCCTGCGGGCGTTGGAAATCTCATTAGGCGTGTCCGGCAGAGGGGTTGGGGAAGATTTAGGGGCGGAACGGGGACGTGTGGATCTGCTAAGTAACCGAGTAACCACCGCAGTCCAAATGTGGAGCAGGAGGCGGGACCTCGAGGGTGTGCCCCACGCATGGATCTGAGCTGTTGCCACTGGCCCTAAAGCGTCCGTAAGGGATAGCTAAGGTGAAGCTGCTGGTGGAATACCCTCCTTGTCCATTTCCCTCTGCATCCCAACGAATGAGAGCTCTCGAGCCAGGGATCCATCCTCCACATTATTAACTAGTAACTCCGAGCTTTTAGAACAGCTCTCAAAAGAGCCTAAAACTGGATATTTTTTCTTTAAATTTTCTTGTTACTGATGTGAACTCATTTCACTTAGCAGAAACAATTATGTCAGGGTGGGAGTCTTACTACAAAACCGAGGGCGATGAAGAGGAGGAAGAACAAGAGGAAAGCCCGGAAGCAGGTGGTAAGTGACTTTACCATGTAATACCGTTCTGCATGTGGAAAAACAGACCTTCCCTGCCTTGTCTCCTGCAAGGACGTTGCCTTCTGATGGCCCACCGTTTTATCCCCAAATAATCCGAAATAACTTTTCTCCCTTTGAGCTTTGCAGAGCTACCGTAGGCTCTCCTTTATTCTGGTTTTACTCTATGAGACATCTCTAGTTTTAAATTTTTGCTGGGCACTGGTAAATTGATACCTTTTGAGCTCCAGTAAATGACCCTATTCATGGGATCTTTTGTTATCTTACATGACTCAGGTAAGACCCTTTCTCGCCTGAGAAAGGAGTTTTATTTATCTCAGAACCTCAGTGTAAAAATACCTTCACCCTACAGTAACTTACACTAATGGAAGAGTAAACATTAGCAATGCAGGTTTCAAAAGAGTTATTCCTTCATGGTAGCTCCCAGGTTTGGGAGTATCTGTGTATTCAAGCAACACAATATTATTCAAGTAGTGTATGCAAGCAAAACAGTAACACATAGGGCCAAGGGAGATTAATAAAGGGTACGTGTAATCCACTAGTTAATTTAATTCCTGGACAGAAAATTTTAGTGTTTTATTAAAAAAAAACAAAAAACCTGTAATCTGTGTACCCGTCATCATACCACAACCAACCACTACCATAGTTTTGACTTTTTGTTTGTTTGTTTGTTTTTGAGACAAGGTCTTGCTTTGTTGCCTAGGCTGGCCTTGAATTATTAGACTCAAGCCATTTTCCTTCTCAGCCTCCTTAGTAGCTGGGTTCATAGGCCTAATTCACCATTCTGGATCTCTTTGGCAATTTGAATATCTCCTTTATGCATCTTTCAATCTATTTATTCTAAATATACATACATGCACATTTTTATTCATATCTGATTTTTATATTATTGTAATCATAGTATACATACATTTTCTCACTTTACATCAGTCTTCTTCCAAAAAAAATTTTAAGCGTAAAATTTTATGTTCTGCCTTTTTACTTGTTGTATTATAGCTATATCTTTCCATGTTTTAACACATGTACTTAGTTGTTATAACCTTCTTGTTTAGTGGTACTGGGGTTGAACCTTTAGGTGCTTTACTACTGAGTTATATCCCAAGTGCTTTTTATTTTTATTTAGGGTACCAAGAATTGAACTCAGGGGCACTCGGCCACTGAGCCATATCCCCAGCACTATTTTGTAATTTATTTAGAGGCAGCTGTTGGCTGAGGCTGGCTTTGAACTTGAGATCCTCCATCTCAGCTCTAGAGCCGCTGGGATTACAGGTGTGCGCCACTGCAACCGGTTTATTTTTTTTTATTTCTTATTTTGTGACGAGGTCTCACTTGAGTTGCTGAGGGTCTTGCTTAGTTGCTTGCAATCCTCTTGCCTCGTAACTCACTTAAAATATATTAGAATTTATTAATTGATTCAATTTCCTGTTGGACATTTTAGTTATTTTTCAATTTCTTTAATAAACAACATCATAGTATGGGCTGAGGAGGTGGCTCTAGCGGTAGCGCGCTCGCCTAGCATGCGCAGGGAGCTGGGTTCTATCCTCAGCACCACATAAAAATAAAATAAAGATGTTGTGTCCACCGAGAACTAAAAAATTAAAAAAAAAATCATAGTAAATTCATTTTTAAAATTTTTTTTCATTTTTTTCCCCAAGGATGAGGATTGAACCCAGGGCCTCAGGCATGCCAGACAGCATTCTACCACTGAGCCGCATCCCCAGCCCAATGTTATAGTAAATTTTGTATATGAGTTTTTCCATTTTTTTTTTCAATATTTTTTTAGTTGTTGACAGACCTTTATTTTATTTATTTATCTATGTGCTGAGAATCAAACCCAGTGCCTCACACATGCTAGACAAGGCCTCTACCACTGAACTATAAACCCAGCCCCTGTTTTTCTTTATCTTAATAAGATAGATTGCTAAGAGGTAGAATTTACCAGATCAAGGTAGAACTTTTGTTTAAGGCTTTTGACACACATTTTGTTCTCCAAAAGTGGCTAATTAAATTTATTGTATTAAGCAGCAGCAATGTCAAAAGGGAAGATAATTAGACAAATACCTTTTTATGGAAAAAAAAGAAAGAAAACATCACTGTTGGGCATGGTGGCACATACCTGTAATCCCAGTAACTTGGGAGGCTGAGGCAGGAAGATTGAAAGTTCAAGACCAGCCTCAGCAATGTAGCAAGGCTCTAATTAACTTAGGGAGAACCTGTCTCAAAAAAAAAAAAAAAAAAAAAAGGAGTCACGCACAGTGACAACTGTAATCCTAGTGATTTGGGAGTCTGAGGCAGGAGTATTGCAAGTTCAAAGCCAGCCTCATAACTTTGTGAGTCCCTGTCTCAAAATAAGAAAAAGGGCTAGAGATGTTGCTCAGTGGTTAAGCACCTCTGGGTTCAATATTCAGTATCAAAAAACAAGCACCTCTACTGTCATATATATAAAAAAAGAACCACTTAAAAAAAATAAGCACATCACTTATGATATAGTCATGCTGAAAAAAGGAAACTTGAATCTGATTAAACCACTCTAGGTCTCTAGTAAGGACAACAGAGTACACCCAAAGATGTAGATGTTACTCTAGACCAAAAGAATGCAATCAGCAAAATCCAGAATATGGAATAGTATATGTGACAAAGCATTTTGGTTATTTAGCAAATAAATTATAAGGAAAAATAGACTGTTTCAATTTTATTTATTTGTTTGTTTGTTTATTTATTTATTTTTGTGGTGCTGGGGATTGAACCCAGAGCCTTTTGCATGCAAGGCAAGCACTCTACCAACTGAGCTATATCCCCAGCCCTCAAAATGTTTTTATAGAAAGTCAAACTAACGTTTAGGGATGCACACTTAGATGATAAAACTATAATGAAAAATTAAGGAAGTGTAATTACCAACAGTAAGGATCATGGTTACTTTGTGGGGAGGTGGGCATTGTAATTAGGAGGGAATATATGAAGGACTTCTGGGGTGACCAATAGGACTGATTTTCCTGACATTGATGATTTTTTAAAATTTTATTTATTAATTTTAGGTTTTTTTATGAATCTTTATTTTTTATTTATATATGGTGCTGAGAATTGAACCCAATGCCTCACACATTGGAGGCAAGCACTTTACCACTGAGCCCCAACCCCAGCCCTTGATGGTTATTTTAAAGATGTTCACCTTATAATAATTCATTAGGTTATACTTTTGCTTTAAGGACTTCTCTGTATGTTTCATATTAATGATAAACTTAAATATGAGTACAAGGGTAAATGTTCCTTCCATTTATTTTCCCCATAGGAGAACATAAATATTCAGGAAGAGATAGTTTGATTTTTTTGGTTGATGCCTCCAGGGCCATGTTTGAATCTCAGGGTGAAGATGAATTGACTCCTTTTGATATGAGCATCCAGGTAAGTCTTCCTTTTTTTTTTTTCCTTATTTTTTTAGTTGTAGGTAGACACAATGCCTTATTATTTATTTTTTTTTTTATGTGGTGCTGAGTTTCGGACCCAGTGCCTCACTCATGCTAGGTGAGCACCCTACTACTGAGCCACAACCCCAGCCCCATATCTTCCTGTTTTGTTTTGTTTGGATATTGGTGATTGAACCCAGGGGCACTTTACCACTGAGCTACATCCCCAGGCCTTTTTTATTTTTTTTATTTTGAGACAGGATCTCGCTAAGTTGCTTAGGGCATTGCTAAGTTGCTGAAGCTGGCCTCCAACTTGCAGTTCTCCTGCCTTGGTCTCCCAAGTTATTGGGATTACAGGTATGTGCCATCATGCCTGGCAAGACTACCTTTTATTTGATCCAAAAAAAAAAAAAAAAATAGCAAAAAAGTATGATATCACTTGCAAAAACATGAACTCTTTGGAAAGTTTGTGAATGTTAAATAGCAATTAGCCTATATTTGCAGCCAAAAAAAAAAAAAAAAAGGTAGCAGTGTTGGAGATGAGTCTCATTCTATTCTAGGTTTGAACTTGGGACTGTAGGAATACATTGTTCCCACCTTTTGTATTAGCCCTGATAGTAGAAGTGGGCTTCTTCAAATATAGGATTATAAAGTGCCGCAGTCTGGCTGAGCAAAATAACCAGGGGGTGACAAGCAACTTGTGGAGGTTGAAACAGCGGGAGCCCCTTTATTGCAAGACAGTAGAGGTATATATACCCAACTGATTACACACAGCTTAACTTAATTAACATCATCTAGATACAGCAGTCAGTCAATAAGGAATCCTCATCATCTTAATGGTTCGCTCGCATTACTTCACAAACCACTCCTCCTGGCAAAGTGCCAGGCGCCATCTTGACTTGATTGGTCCTCAACAATAAAGGAAGAAGGAAAGTACTGGCAATTATGGTGTGAAGAAAAGTTCTTTTGGGCTATAGATGTAGTTCAGTGGTAGAGTATCCACAAGGCCATGGGTTGGATCCTCAGTACTACCAAACAAACAAACTAACCTCTCAAGTGATGTTTGGTAATTGAATACTACTTGCTGAAAACTGTTACTATAGCAACAAGACAACCCCAATTTTAACATGGGATAAGGACTTATAACTTAATAGCCATTTCTCCAGAGATATACAGGTGGCTAATAAGCACAAGAAAAATGTTTGACAGCTTTAGTCATTAGGGAATGCGAATCCAAACCACAGTGAGATACCTCTTTATACCCTCTAGTATGGCTGTAATTATAGAAAGAAAGAAAGAAAAGAAATAAGAGTAGCCAGGCTTATAATCCCAGCTGCTTGGGAGGCTGAGGCAGGAGAATCATGAGTTCAGGGACATCCTGGGCAACTTAGGGAAAAAAAAAAATTTTTTTTTTTTTTTTTTTTAATTTTATAAAAGGGCTGGGGATGGGCTGTGGCTCAATGGTAGAGTGCTCAACTGGCACACTAAGGCACTGGGTTTGATTCTCAGTACTACATAAACATAAATGTACTGTGTCCATCTACAACTAAAGAAAAATATTTAAAAAAAAAAAAAAGGTGAGGACTGGGGATGTAGCTCAGTGGTAGAGCCCTCCTGGGTTCAACTGCAGTACCATACCAAAAAAAAAAAAAAGAATTTTGCAATTTTGGGGATGTAGCTCAGTGATACAGCACTTGCCTAGCATGTGCAAGGCCCAGGTCCAAACCTCAAAATTGGGGGGGAAAAAAACAAAAAAGAATTTGCATTTCCAGGAACTTGTTGATGTTACTGAATCAGAGGCCACAGTTTGAGGAGAGATGCTTTAATGTTTTTTGTGATTTCAGATCTCTTTGAGGATGTTATGAAAGCTATGTACCTTCTCTCCTAGAAAGACAGCACTCATCATTCTACATGTAATTACAAAGGGTTCATTGAACACTTTAAGCCCAAAGACCATAAAAGAAAAGGCAGTATTAGGTTCCAAATAGATGAGAGATTCACCAATAAGCAAATATATATATATTTATTTATTTATATTTATTTATATATATATGTTTATTTTATTTTTGAGAGAGAGAATTTTTAATATTTATTTTTCAGTTTTTGGCGGACACAACATCTTTATTTTTATGTGGTGCTGAGGATTGAACCCAGCACCCCGCGCATGCCGGGCGAGCGTGTTACCGCTTGAGCCACATCCTCAGCCCAATGTATATATTTAAAAAAAATTTTTTTTAATTGTCAGTGGTCTTTATTTATTTATATGTGGTGCTGAGAATCGAACCCAGTGTCTCACACATCCTAGGCAAGTGCTCTACTACTGAGCCACAACCCCAGTCCAAGCATAATATATATTTGTTAACAAGCAATGAAAGAACATTTTCTAAGATTCTGTTTTCTCATTTTATCCTTGTGCAAGGGCCATGTTAATCTCTGTATTATTTTAATTTAGTATATGTGTTGAAAAAGCAGACACAGTTTTTTTTAATTTTTTTAGATTTTGCTGTACAGGGAATTGAACCCAGGGCCTCATGGCACTCCACCACTGAGCTACATCCCAGCTCACCCCTCAACCCCTCACTTTTTTTTTTTTTTTGAGATAGGGTCTATGTCCAGGCTGGCCTCTAACTTGCAATCCTCCTGCCTCAAGTCTCTTGGTAGCTGAGATTATAGGCATGTGCTACCATGCCCAGCTCGTTTTGTGTTTTTAATTATTAGAATCTAAAAGGAGTTTTTACCAAATTCTTCTAAAAACTTGTAGACTACTGAACAAATAGATTAAAATATTTATAGAAGTAACTACTTGCCATGCAGGTTATTGTCAGTGACTAGCCGTAATGTAAGTTTTGCATGTAAGCATAGTCTTGCTTTAGAGGAAGGCCAGTTAGAGGCTCAGGCAGGACATGGAGGGGGTCACCATGGTTGGTTTATTCAGCTTTGCAGATTCAGAAACAATTTTATTAATGCCCCAGAATTAAACAGGCCCAAGATGGATCAACTTTTCTAGGACCTTATCTACCAGATGCTGATGTTAGTTCATATGGGGGACAGACTTTTCCTGTGACTGAAACACTGATGGCTTGGGCTGGGGATGTGGCTCAAGCGGTAGCGCGCTCGCCTGGCATGCGTGCGGCCCGGGTTCGATCCTCAGCACCACATACCAACAAAGATGTTCTGTCCGCCGATTACTAAAAGATAAATATTTAAAAAAAAAAAAAAAAAGAAAGAAACACTGATGGCTGTAATTGTGTAATTTTATTTCAAAGTGTACTTTTTGTAGTTACTGACTTGTTTTGGGGTCAGATACATTTATTGTTAATTTAAGCTTTGTAATTACATATGTAAACTGTTTCTTGGTGTCAGAATACTTTAGAAAAGATCAGGTGACCTGTCAGACTCAGTGAGTGACATCAGTGGGATGCACCTCTGATCTTCTGAATCCATTATTGGGCTTTTAAGATTTTATTTTTTAGTTGTAGTTGGACACAATACTTTTATTTTATTTTAAATATTTATTTTTTAGTTGTAGTTGGACACAATACCTTTATTTATCTTTTTATGTGGTGCTGAGGATCAAACCCAGGGTGCGCACATGCTAGGCGAGTGCTGTACCACTGAGCCACAACCCCAGCCCAATACCTTTATTTATTTGTTTATTTTTATGTGGTGCTGAGGATCGAACCCAGGGCCTCACAGGTGCTAGTCAGGTGCTCTACTGCTAAGCCACATCTCTAGCCCCATAATTCTCTGGTTTTTTATAGTAGGGACTGCTTTGTGGGTTTTTTTTTTTTTTTTAAATACCTTTATTTTATTTTATTAGTTGTGGTAGGACACAGTACCTTTATTTTATTTATTTATTTTTATGTGGTGCTGAGGATCAAACCCAGTGCATCACACATGCTAGGTGAGTGCTCTACTGCTGAGCCCCAACCCTAGACCCTTGTTTTGTTTTATTTGTTTTTATGTGGTGCTGAGGATTTAACCCAGTGCCTCACACGTGTGAGATAAACACTATTTGAGTGTACTCTATGAGCCAGAATCCCCCACCCCGCCCCTCCACACCCCCTCCCCCTGCTTTTATTTTATTTTATTTTTTTTTGCATTGGTGGGATTTGAACCTGGGCCTCATGCATGCCAAGCAATTACTCTGCTGAGCCCACTGAGCTATACCCCATACCTAGGGACTACTTATAAGTCTGTTATATCCATATAGCACTTTGTGTTTGTTATAAATTGATGTGTATGCCCATCACTCTCTGGTTCAGGAACTTCCTGAAAGTAGGGGTTATGTCTTATAGTGCTATGTATAAAATTCAGCTAGGACATGTTAAGTATCTACTATAAGCCAGGAACTTATAGAACTTAAATTTAATGGTAAGTAAATATTCATTGAATTTTAATTTTTTCAGTGTGTCCAGAGTGTATATGCCAGTAAGATCATAAGCAGTGATCGAGATCTCTTGGCAGTGGTATTCTATGGTACCGAGAAAGACAAAAATTCAGTGAATTTCAAAAATATTTACGTCTTACAAGAGTTGGATAATCCAGGTCAGTAATGTTCTAAGCTCAGCGTTTCCCTTGTGTGAGAATGTCACTACCCTGAACAAAGGGGTATGAAGGAGGAAGCAGGTTCCATCTTGTTAAGGAGTCTGCTTTCCTACAAGCGGTCTTTGTTGGTAAACAGCTGTGGAGTGAGAAAGGAACCCTGGCCTTTCTGTTACCCTGTGGTGAAGGTGGCCACTGACTCTAATGGTTTTTCTGTCCATTTGATTCTTTGATTTAATCAGGTGCAAAACGAATGCTGGAGCTTGACCAGTTTAAGGGGCAGCAGGGAAAAAAACATTTTCAAGATCTAATTGGCCATGGTTCTGACTACTCATTGAGTGAAGTGCTGTGGGTCTGTGCCAACCTCTTTAGCAATGTCCAGTTCAAGATGAGTCATAAGAGGATCATGCTGTTCACCAATGAAGACGACCCCCATGGCAATGACAGTGCCAAAGCCAGCCGGGCCAGGACCAAAGCTGGCGATCTCCGTGACACAGGTGGGCATTTTTCTTATTCTTTTAAATTGGCACTTAATTTTATTGCTTTCTTTATAGCTGATCTCAAGCATTTGCTTTTCACCATCCAGAGTCAAAGAATAATGTGAAGCCAAGGGAAGACACCTGTGTAACATTAACACTGAAAATGGCCACGTCAGAAAGATGTGGTGGCACATGTCCTCAATCCCAGCTGTTCTACAGGCTGAGGTGGGAGGATCACTTGAGCACATGAGTATGAGGCCAGTCTGAGCAACATAGTGGACCCAGTCTCAAAAAAAGAATAAAGAAAATGACCTTACTACACTGTCTGAAGGACTTTAGAGCCCTTGAGCTTGCCACCAGAGCAAGCTTATCTTGATTTTTTTTTTTTTTTAACTGAGGTTTGAACCCAGGTGTGTTCTACCACTGAGCTACATCTCCAGCCCTTAATTTTTATTTCTTTTGAGGCAGAGTCTTGCTAGGTTGCCATGGATGTCTTCAAACTTGAAATTCTCCTGGCTCAGCCTCCTTAGTGGCTGGGATTACAGGCTTGGGCCACCATATCCTGCACTTGTCTTGATTTTAACACTACCTTGAATGAGGTTATTTGAATAAGTTGTCTCAAGTAAATATAACAGCTAATTTATTTAGCCACTTTCTCTCTAATTCCTGAAATTGTTAAAATCAATCTAATTTGGTGGGGGGCACTTTTAAAAGCGTTTGAATTTAACTGAAAAGAATCTTCAAGTTGGACATGGTGGTGCATGCCTGTAGTCCCAGCTACTCAAAAGGGTGAGGCAGAAGATTGCTTGAGTCCAGGAATCTGGGGCCAGCCTGGGCAACATAGTGAGATCCCCATCTCTTTAAAAAAAAAAAAAAAAAATTCCCATTTTACTAAAAATTCTTTTTTCTTCCTCATCTTTGTCTGTGTACCAGGAATCTTCCTTGACTTGATGCACCTGAAGAAACGTGGGGGCTTTGATATATCCTTGTTCTACAGAGATATCATCAGCATAGCAGAGGATGAAGATCTCGGGGTTCACTTTGAGGAATCAAGCAAGTTGGAAGACCTATTGAGGAAGGTTCGTGCCAAGGAGACCAGGAAGCGAGTGCTGTCCAGGTGAGCACTAAACCTGGGTTGCTGCCCCCAGGTCCCCAAGCAAATCACCAGTAATGTGTTGCTTTGACATCCCTGTGCTATGCTGTTGTCTTGCTGTGTTTCTTCAAAGTATCAGCTTCATGAGGATAGCACTGTCTGATTGCTTCTCCAGAAGAGCACAGTCCTCCATTTCCTTGTGCCTAAGTGAATCCTCAGCTATACTCACTAATACACTCTTTGCTTTCTTCTGTGTTGGTGATGGTAGTAACACCCAACTCATTAGATTATTTTGAGGAATAAATGGAAAACAAAATGTATCAAACAGGTTATATGGAGCTAAACCTCAATAAATGTTTGTTATCATCATTGTTAAAAGTGTATATTCTAGAGGCTGAGGCAGGAGTATCCCAAGTTTGAGGCCAGCCTCAGCAATGTAGCAAGACCTTATCTTAAAACAAAAAACTAAAAAGGAGGCTAGAGTTGTGGCTCAGCGGTAGAGCACTCACCTAGCACTGCAAGGCACTGGGTTCGATTCTCAGCACCACATAAAAATAAATAAAGATATGGTGTCCAATTACAGCTTAAAAAAAAAATCATTAAAAAAAATAAAAAGGACTGAGGATGTAGCTCAGTGGTAAAGCATCCCTTGGTTCAAACCTCAGTACCACAGACACAAACAAAAAAAATTGTCTTAATTTAGTCGGTCATGGTGGCCCATGCCTATAATCCTAACTGCTTATAGGCTGGGGCAGGAGGATCTCAAGTTTGAGGCCAGCTGAGCAACTTAGCAAAACTCTGTCTCAAAGGAAAACATAAAAAAGGCTGGGGATGTAGCTCAGTGGTTGAGTGCTTGTCTAGCATGCACAAGGCCCTGGGTTGAATCCTCAGTACCAAAAGACAACAAAAATGTATTATTCTGATTTCTTGTAAACTTGAGTCCAATAGGAACCAGACTGTTGGATTGTCTTCTTTTGAAGAGTCTTGATATTAATGCTAAGGGCTTCTCAGTGTTTCTTCCTAAGGAGAATGCCTCTTTTGTTTGCTTTTTTTTTTTTGCAGTGCTGGAAATGGAACCCAGGGTTATGTGTATGTTAGGCAGGTGTTCTTCCACTGAGCTACCTGACGCTGCCCCAGGCTTCCTTTTAGACTGGCTTTTCAATATAGGACATAACACTTGGTAATTTTTGAGTTTACCAACATTGTTTTTTTTTTTTTTTTTTTTTGAGTGTTGGGGATCAAAGTCAGGGTCCTGTGCATGCTAGGGACATATTCTATTACTGAATTACATCCCTGTTTCCAGTAGTACATTCTTTGTCATTATTCTAAGTAGTTAATATACTTTGAAACTAATTTTTGTGGTGGACATTGAGATGGTATTATATCAAATTCCATTGTATTATTTTTTTTTAAAGAGAGAGAATTTTTTAATATTTATTTTTTAGTTTTCGGCAGACATAACATCTTTGTTTGTATGTGGTGCTGAGGATCGAACCCGGGTCGCACGCATGCCAGGCGAGCGCGATACCGCTTGAGCCACATCCCCAGCCCTCCATTGTATTATTAAAATGCATTAAGAACTTGCTTAGGGTTACTGTAGTGAATAAAGCAATTTGAAATTTAAATGTCTTGAAGGAATTGCAGATGGGAAAATATATAATCTTTTTTTTTTTTTTTTGATACTGGGTATTGAACCCAGGGGTGTTTTACCACTTTACCCCTGAGCTACATCCTAACCTGTTTTTTAAAATTTTTTATTTGGAAAAGAGTCTTTCTAAGTTGGTTAGGGTCTCACTAAGTTTCTGAGGCTGAACCAGACGTGGTGGCTAATGCCTGTAATTCCAGTGGCTCGGGAGGCTGAGGCAGGAGGATCACAGGTTTGAAGTCAGCCTCAGAAACATCAAAGAGGCTGTAAGCAACCTAGTGAGACCCTGTCCCAAAATTAAAAATAAATCAAGTTGGGGATGTGACCTAGTGTGACCCAGTGGTTAAGCTCTGTAGAGTTCAATCCCTGGAACAAAAAAAAGAAAGAAGTTGTTGAGTCAGGCCTTGAAATTGCAATCCTCCTGTCCCAGCCTCCTAAACTGCCAGGATTATAGGCATGGGCTACCATGCCTGGTTTTATACACAGTCTTTGAGTCCATGCTTTCATTTTTTCTCTCAGGTTAAAGTTTAAGCTCAACAAGGATATAGCACTCACTGTAGGCATTTATAACTTGGTCCAGAAGGCTAACAAGCCTTTTCCAATAAGGCTCTATCGGGAAACAAATGAACCAGTGAAAACCAAGACCCGGACATTTAATGTAAATACAGGCAGTTTGCTCCTGCCTAGTGATACCAAGAGATCTCAGGTATGTACATGTGCTTTTTTTTTTTTTTTTTTTAAGAGAGAGAGAGAGAATTTTTTAATATTTATTTTTTAGTTCTTGGTGGACACAACATCTTTGTTTGTATGTGGTGCTGAGGATCGAACCCGGGCCGCACGCATGCCAGGCGAGCGCACTACCGCTTGAGCCACATCCCCAGCCCTGTAGATGTGCTTTCTTACCAAATTTTCTCCTGTTGAAGAGTTAACAGGGAGGGAAGACAGTAATTAGCCTAACCAGTTAAATTACTTCCATGTGTGTGTCTTTCTATTTAAGATATTGGGGCTGGGGTTGTAACTCAGTGGTAGAGTGCTTGTCTCACAGGCGTGAGGCCCTGGGTTCGATCCTCAGCATCACATAAAAATAAATAAACAAAATAAAGGTATTGTGTATAACTAAAAAATAAATATTTTTTTAAAAGATATTGTGTCCATCTACAACTAAAAAAATATTTTAAAAAAAAGATATTTTAAGAATCAGGGCTGGGGGCTGGGGTTGTAGCTCAGCGGTAGAATACTCACCTAGAACATGCGGGGCCCTGGGTTTGATCCTCAGCACCACATAAAAATAAAATAAAGGTATTGTGTCCAACTACAACTAAAATAAAATCAAAAAAAAAAAAAAAGAATCAGGGCTGAAGATGTAGTTCAGTGTTAGAGCTTTTGCCTAACACGTACCAGGCCCTGAGTTCAATCCCTAACACTGCAAAAAAGAAAAGAAAAAGACAAGAGTTATTACACTTTGGAACTATGGCATATCAATCAGTGAGATCCTGAGAGCTAGGGAGTTAAACAGCCCCAGTATTGGTAAGAAGTGGCAGTGGAAGCTTCGGCTCTTGACCACTGAGCACATGCTGCACTAACAGTCTAATTCCCTGATAAAGTACAATGGCAGAAAGTGTTTCCTAGTTAACTAGGGAGATGAGAAATTAGTGACATGTTACATATGAGGTGGACTTTTTTAAAGAGAATTTCTTTTTGCTAGACTATTAAAACATTTCCCTTACTTTGAAATGACACACATCTGCCTTTCTGAACCTGAACTAGATTACAAAACATTGTCCTTCCTCATCTTCTCACCTATATTCAATCTATAGAAGGATTTGACATTGAAAATTAAAATTGAATGAGTCATCCTTTTTTTTTAATCATGTGTCTGCCTTCCACATTGAGACCTAACCTAGTACCTTTATATGTCAGGGTTGGGGCTGGGAGCTCAGTTCATGTTAAGTAAGGGAAGGAATAAATACCTGAAGAATACGGCCTTTGGCATTGGAAAGATCTGGATTTAAAGCCCAATGCAGTTGTATAACCTGGAATGTTACCCAACCATTGGGCTTTAGTTTACTCATTGGTTGAACAATTTGCAGTGCTGGGGTGGAACCTAAGGTTTCTTAAGTGCTAGGCAAGTGCTATACTACTGAGCTAAATCCATAGCCCTTGCTCAGTTGTTTTAATTTTAATTTTTTGGGGGGTACTAGGGATTGAATTCAGGGACACTCAACCATCGAGCCACATCCCCAGCTGTATTTTGTATTTTATTTAGAGACAGGGTCTCACTGAGTTGCTTAGTGTCTCACATTTGCTGAGGCTGGCTTTGAAATCATGATCCTCCTGCCCTTAGCCTCCCAAGCCACTGGGATTACAGATGTGTGCCATTGTGTCCGGCCCTTGCTTAGTTTTTAACATTTACTTCCTGGGATTGCTACAGAACATAAATTAGATGACAAACCAGAGTACCTGGCAGTCACTCAGTAAATACTAATTCCCTGTTGTAAGAAGAGATGCACTGGTAAGCCATCTTCTTGCTTAAAGAGAGCTGACTTTAACTTGCTAGTGTCCTGTGCACCAGTTTGCATTTTCATGTAGCCTCTATGCTTCTTTCCTGTAGACCTATGGGAGTCGTCAGATTGTACTAGAGAAAGAGGAAACGGAAGAGCTGAAGCGGTTTGATGAGCCAGGTTTGATTCTCCTTGGCTTTAAGCCCTTGCTAATGCTGAAAAAGCACCATTACCTGCGGCCCTCCCTGTTCGTTTACCCTGAGGAGTCCCTGGTAAACGGTAAGTAGCATAGGCCAAGAATAAATGAAGGACTCTGACACAGGACACAGTTTATTGAGCCGCATTTCCTGAACGGGTACTGCTTGGACACTGTATAGGAGATGTTAATGGGATATTTTGGAAGTGTTTTATGTTCAAATTTTGGATATCTGGGACTAAACAAAGTTAAAGAGATTTTTTTTCAGAACCCTTAGTATATTGACATGTATTGTGAAAATCCAGGAGGGGCTATGAAATTGAAGATTTTTAAAACATTTTCCTTTGGAATTATTTGAGGCATCAGACGAGAGCAAAAAAACTCAAAAGGTCCCACAGCCTTTTCTCTGTTAGTGGCCATTAAAGATGATGTGGCTGGGCACGGCGATGCACTCCTGTAATCCCAGCAACTTGGGAGGCTGAGGCAGGAGGATCATGAGTTCAAGGCCAGCCTCAGCAAAAGGAAGACACTAAGCAACTCAGGGAGACCCTGTCTCTAAAGAAAATACAAAATAGGGCTGGGGATGTGGCTTAGTGGTTGAGTGCCCTTGAGTTCAATCCTTGGTACCCCACCCCTTCACAAAAAAGGAAAAAAAAAAAGATGATGTGAACTCTGCCATTATGTGTACTGGTTCTTTCCAGACCTCTGTTCCTTTGTTCAGTAGGAAGCCCCCAACCCTCCCACCCCCAGTTTGGACCTGATTAAGTTTTCCTTAGTGTTTGGAGCTCATGTTGTTAGCCTAATGTCAGTAAAGTGAACTGACCTTAATAATTCACACTCCTAAAGAGCGTGTTTGAGGATTCCAATCCCGATTCTTTTCCTTTCTGTGCGTCTGTTGCCCCCACATTTCCTTCATCTCTTGCTCCCACACCCTTTACCCATGGAAATATCTTTAAAGAAAATGGAAGAGAAATCATGAGACCTTTGTTTTCTAGGGAGCTCAACCCTGTTTAGTGCTCTGCTTACCAAGTGTCTGGAGAAGGCGGTCTTAGCAGTGTGCAGATACACACCCCGCAAGAACACCCCCCCTTATTTTGTGGCTTTGGTGCCACAAGAAGAAGAGCTAGATGACCAGAAAATTCAGGTGACTCCTCCAGGTACGTAACAGATTTCCAGGGCTCCTGAACTTTGCCCATCTTTGGAATCCCTCCTGAGGTCCTGATTCAGACCTGCTGAATCACAGTTCCCAGGAAAAAGGCCTGGGAAACGGGTATTTTTAAGGTTTCTTAGGTGAACGATGTGCAATCAGGTGAGGCCACCACATTACAGTTTGGTTGAACAGTGCACAGTGTGTCTGGCTGTTCATGGCTGGTCCATAGCTAGGGTTGAGAATTGTCTACATTTGGACTATTTGCAGGTTACTGACAGAAGTTCAAGGCCTCACTGCTGACACCTTTTCTTTATTGAAAGCTGTGTTTGTCACCCCTTGTAATGCTTAATGTTTGATTTATCTCCTATATATTCACCGTGGTGGTGGAAAGAACATGGATTTTGAAGTCAGGCTTGACTTTGTCCTTTGCTTGAGTGTCTGAAAGTTTGCTTTCCTTTATTTCAGATCCATGTCTGCCACTTGTTAGCTAGCCAACAGGGCAGATAGCTTAACCTTTCTATTTATATTCTTTATCTTAGAGATGGGAATTCTGAAACATCTTTCCCTCAAGATTGTTTTACATCTGAAATAAGTTACTATGCAAGTTCCAGGGCTGAGAGATGTAGTTCCATGTAGTTACTGGCTAGCGTGCATGAGGCCCTGCACCATGATGGTGCTGGTGATGATGGTGGTGGTGATGATGATGTGAAGTGCCTAGCACAAAGTAGTTGGCCCATGGTAGTCTACCTTCTCTAGCCATGTGGATAAAATTAACTTTATAAAGTAATTATTAGATATATTTTTAATCCTGGTCATTAGAATACTCAGTTTTAAGCTATTATCTCTCAACTCCAAATTTACCCTGTTAGGGTTTGTGCTCCTAAGGCTGAGATTGTTCAAACCCAGGTAGCTCTCAGGCTGTGTCAATAGTACCTGCTAGAGGGAGGCCAGAGGGCAAGTGAAGGAAAGAGACTTATTTCTTCTTGTGGGCTCAATGCTGTCAGCATTGCCAGCAAGGATCCTTCATCTGGGGGTAATTCATTATAGTGTCTAGGTTTTTCAATCCTTCTAGAACCAGCCAGTAACTCTACCAAGATCAGCCTAATAACCTTTATCCCTCACTTTTTTATTTTTAACCAGGTGTTGGAGGGTAGAGAGAAAAAAGGAAAGACGTTGAAGCTCAGAGGAGCTGGAAGTTAGCCCTCAGTGGGGAGGCACTCTAGCTGGTTCTAGATATATCAGAAAAACTGGAGAGGGACTGAGGATGTAGCCCAGAGGTAGAATGCATGTTCAGCATTCTTGGGTTCTGTTGCTAGCACCAGGGAAAAAAAGATGGGGACTGGTGCCAGGTACCTCTGGTGCCAGGTACAGAGTTTTTCCTTGCTGGGGCAATATAGACAGGAGCAATGAATATATAGGAAGGGATATCTCTCTTGCCTTCTGTTCTTCCTCTGGAGTCAGAGCATCGTAGGCTACCAGGTGTCAGCTGGTAAAGGAGAAATGAGATTTGCAGGGCCCTAGTCACAGTATTGCAGGACATAGCTGAGACATACAGCTACAAAACAAATCTCAGAAAACCTACCTCCTTTTTTTAGGCTTTCAGCTTGTCTTCCTACCTTATGCTGATGATAAACGTAAAGTGCCTTTTACAGAAAAAGTCATGGCCAACCCTGAACAGATAGACAAGATGAAAGCCATTGTTCAGAAGCTGCGCTTCAAATACAGGTGAGCACTCAGCAGTCTTGACCTTCTTCTGGAGGACTTTCTGAGTTGAGTCAACAGAAATTCAAGGTAGCCAGGCATGGCAGCACCTGCCTATAATCTAGCCACTCAACAGGCTGAGTCAGGAAGATCACAAGTTTGAGGCCAGCCTGGGCAACTTAGTGAAAGCCCCCATTTCAAAATAAAAATTTTAAAAGGTTGGGGCTGGGCACATAGCTCAGTGGTAGAGCACTTACCTAGCATTCTCAAGTCCCTGGGTTCTATCTCTAGTACCAAGAGACCAAAAAAGAAAGAAAGAAAAAAGTTCAAGTTAGGCATAGGCCATGAGAATATGATTTTATCCTTTTTAGTTAACTGGTAAATTGTGACTTGTTATTGAGAACTTGTAAAAAGCTACATCGAGAATGGAAGTTCTAATCATACTGAAGACACTGGGAGTGTGCTGGTAGACTTAGAAAGTCAGATTAGTTGGTTGAACAAGTTCAAAAACTAGCAGTAGGGGAAGATTCTTAGTTGGTTTTCTCACTGTCACCCAATGAGAAATTGTTACAGGCTTTAAAGAATAATTATGTGATTTAAATAATTTTCTTTTACGCACATGATAGACCATCTTTTAAAAGCTTGCATATTATAACACCACACATAATATTTTTCACATCTTTTTTTTTTAAATATTTATTATTTTTTAGTTTAGTTAGACATATTATCTTTATTTCATTCTTATGTGGTGCTGAGGATTGAACCCAGGGCCTCACATGTGCTAGGCGAGCACTCTACCGCTGAGCCACAATCCCAGCCTCTCACATCTTTGTTTTTTATTATTTTTTTTGTGGGGGGTACTAGAGATTGAACCTAGGGGCGCTTAACCATTGAGCCATATCCCTGGCCCTATTTTGTATTTCATTTACACAGGGTCTCACTGAGTTGCTTAACACCCCACTTTTGCTGAGCCATTGGGATTACAGGCATGTACCACTGCACCTGGCACATCTTTATATTTTTTTAATATTTATTTTATTATGGTAAGAACATTTAACAGGAGAGTACCTTCTTAATAAATTTCCATTTGGCATTATTAACTATAGTACAATGTTGTTCAGATCTGCATTGTTGTTCTAGCAGATCTCTAGTACTTATTTTCCTTGCATAATGGAAACTTATACAAGTTAATTAGAAATTCTCAACTTTCCTTGTCTTTACCCCTGGCAAATGCCATTCAGCTCTCTGCTTCTATGATTTTGACTATTTTAGATACTTCATTTAAGTGGGCAATATTTGTCCTTCTGTGACACTGGGTTACTTCCCTTAGCACTATGTCCTCAAGATTCTTGCATGCATTGCTGGGGATTGAACCCATGGTCTTGTGCATACTTGGCAAAAATGGTCTACCACTGAGTCCCAGCCACAGCTGTAATCTTTCTTTTGTTACTCATATGAACCTTGAAAACTTGGATTTGTTTTCATTTTATAGATGAAGAAACAGGGTTACACCAGGCATGATGGTACATACCTGTAGTGCTAGCACTCAGGAGACTAAGGCAGGAGGATTATTTGAGCCCAGGAGTTGAAGACAGTGAGACCCTGTCTGGAGGAGGTGAGAGAGGAGGAAGGAAAGAAAAAGATAAAGAAACTGAGACTTATAAGAGCAAAACATCTTGCTAGGACTCACCCAACTAGAAAGAGATGGAGCTCATTCAGCTTTACAACTGTCTAGATTCACACCCTCTTTTTAAATTTTTTATATTTATTTATTTATTTTTGGAACTGGGGATTGAACCCAGAGCCTTGTGCATACAAGGCAAGCACTCTACCAACTGAGCTATATCTCCTGAGCTATATTTTTGTGTATATGTGGTGCTGATGATCGAACCCAGTGCCTCATGCGTGCTAGGCGAGCACTCTACCATTGAACCACAAACCCAGCCCTAGATTCATGTCCTCTTTACCCCCATTCCACTGCTACTGCATACAGGAAGAAGGTACACTCAGGATTCTGAATCTCCCTCTCCCCACCATCCCTCCTTTGTCTTTCCTCTGTATTTACACAGCCCTACCTCTTCTTGTTCTGGTTCTGGCCATGGTGTCCAGTGACAGGGAGCAGGTTCGCTTTGAAGTTAACTTTTGGATCTCTAGCATTAGATAAAATCAGCGAGAGAAGTTGATTTGTGACAGGATTCCCAAATATTTTACTTGGAGTGTTTTTTCAGCTGGATTTCTTTAATTTTATTATTTGGTTTCATTTTTAAAATGTTTAACTTGTTATGTTTTGATTTGTTAATGTTTTTCTCATTGTTTTAACAGAAGTGACAGCTTTGAGAACCCAGTGCTGCAGCAGCATTTCAGGAATCTGGAGGCCTTAGCTTTGGATTTGATGGAGCCTGAACAAGCAGTAGATCTGACATGTAAGAATGTTGGACTGACTCAAGTCGTTTTTACTGGAGGCCTTCTTTTTGATTTCTCTCTGATCTAGTAATGTGGATGCATTGCCTAACTCTCTAGAGACTGAACACCATCATCTAGGCTATCTGCTTGAGAGATTTTTCTAGACCTGATTAGAATGCCTGGGAATGATTCTGCAGTGAGACGAGGAGAGAGTGCCAGGCTCCTGAAACCTGCTTCTGAACTAGGCCACCTCATGCCTGCATGTTGGTGAAAGTTAAATAATATAATATTTATCAAGTGCCTACCGTGTCCCTGAACTGTTGTCCTATGTGTTGACTCATTTAATATTTGTAAGTATGAGGTAGGGGCTTTAGTTGTCCTGATTTTACAGAGAAGGGAGTGATTTGCCCCATGTGCAGGTACTAAATTGTGAGTGGTGCTTCCAGGCTCAGAACCCAGTGACTCCTGCCTGAGCCTGTGCACTGCCCTCTGTACTACTGCCTCTCCATCAGACTCTGCCATGAGAAAAAGCCAACTTATTACCAGCTTTGCCTTGGCTTTCCAAGTGGGGCTTCTCTGACCTTGCTGTAGCCCCTTCTGATTATGATTCTCTTACCTATCTGTAAGAGGACCCAGGAAGTTTAGTGGCACAAGTAAATAACCACAGGAAGCAGATTGGATTTAATGAAGATTCGTATAAGGGTTAGAGAGATGAGAACAACTGGCTGGGCCATTCAGCTTCCATGTTATTCCTGGTCTTCTATACCAGGCAGACTAGCCCTGCCATTGAAGGCACAAGTTTGTCATGACTGTGTAGCCACATCTGGCAGAAGAGAAACACTTGAGTTAAGCAGCCCTTCTTTTCCTGTAAGGCCTTAGGCAATAAGAAGTATAGTCATCTTTCCATATCCTTGGGTTTCTCATACATTGATTCAGCCAACCATGGATCAGAAATATTTGCAAAAAATTGCTTCTGTGCTGAACATGGATGTCATTTTCCCTTAAATAACACAGTAAAACAACAATGTATTTATGTAGCATTTCCATTGTATCAGGTATTATAAGTAATCTGGAGATGATTCAAAGTATATGTGAAGATGTGTGTAGGTTATATGCACATACTACAGCATTTTAAATAAGGGATGTGAGCATCTGAGGGTTTTGGTTATCTGCATGGGTCCTGAACCATCTCCAATGGATACCACAGGACACCGAACTTGGAAAATGCTGGCAGGACTTTATTGAGTGTTTTTGTGGCCAGGTCAGCTGTTTTGTAGCAGGCTCTTCCCCTCACCCTTCATCCCAGCAGTTAGGTGCTCTCTCCTCTCTTCTCCTAGAGTTACAACTGGACAGGACACTGTGGAACAATACTCACCTGGCCACTCTTCTGTATTTTCATTTTTCTAGTGCCCAAGGTTGAAGCAATGAATAAAAGACTGGGCTCCCTGGTAGATGAGTTTAAGGAACTCGTCTACCCACCAGATTACAATCCTGAGGATAAAGTTAGCAAGCGAAAACAAGGTAAGGAACTGGCTGTGGACATGCAGAGGGTTCTTTTGAAAAGTTGTCTTCATGGTCTTATCACAGAGGGAGGGTAATGGCCTTTCAGAAATTTTTAAACCAGCTGGGCATCATGGCACATGCTTGTAATGCCAGCTACATGGAAGGCTGGGGCAGGAGGATTGCAAGTTCAAGGCCAGCCTCAGCAACTTAGTGAGACCCTATCTCTAGATAGATAGATAGATGGGGCTGGGGATGTAGCTCGGTGGTAGAGTGCTTGCTTAATGTGTGAGGTCCTGGGTTCCATCCCTAATACTGCAGAAATTTGTCCCCTGCTGGGTGCGGTGACACACACCTGTAATCCCAGCTGCTCAGGAGGCTGATAGGAGGATCATGAGTTCAAAGCCCGCCTTAGCAAAAGTGAGATGCTAAGCAACTCAAACCCTGTCTCTAAATAAAATAAAAAATAGGGCTGGGGATGTGGCCCAGTGGCTGAGTGCTCCTGAGTTCCATCCCTGATACCCACCCCCCAAAAAAAATTACCTCCTGAAAAAGTGATACATTGATACCAAACCCAAGAAGGGATCATGTTTTTGTATAATCTCACCAATTCTGGACTTTATAAGTATTTTAAGATATTTATACAAAAATTGGTAAAGGTACAATTAGAGATGAAAAATCGTGTTCTAAATGCATAATAAGAATTGTAATGCATTCTGTTGTCTCTCATAAATTTAAAAAATTAACTACAAAAAAATTGGTAAAGAGAAAATTATGTCCTGATTGTTTTGTAATTCTGCAGATATGAGTGAGATGTAGTTTTTTTGTTTGTTTGTTTGTTTTGGGTTGTAGGGTTGTAGATGGACACAATACCTTTATTTTATTTACTTACTTTTATGTGGTGCTGAGGATAGAACCCAGTGCCTCACATGTGCTAGGCAAGCGCTCTACCACTGAGCTATAACCCCCTGCTCGAGATGTAATTTCATTGGACTGTTTTTTTAAATGTGTACTTCCTGTTCTTGGCATTAACTATTTTTTCTATTGGACTATCCTTTTTCTTACCTGGGAATCCAACATTTTCCTACTAAGAGGCTCACGTTTATGGAGCCGGCACCTGGTGCACAGTCACCATTTTGGAATAGTTGTCTTAGATTGTAATCTTTTGGGCTCTCTTGGTCAACTACAGCCAGACTTGGGCATTGTTTACCTGACAAATGAGGAAAGGGCGCCACAAGAGGGTAGGTGGTTGCCATGGTGCTTTCTCCCTTTTGCATTAGGAGTGACTCCTGTAGTGCCCTTGGAACCCACTGGCAGAGCTCCTCACATGCTGACCGTGGGTTAGTGACGAAGTACTTGTCTGCATGTTTGTCTCGCTCAACCTGTGTGTTCTTATCACCTGGTGCCTTGAAACTTAGTGTTTGTAAATGCTTCCCCATTTACAAACACTTTTTCTTTTCTTTTTTTGTGATGCTGGAGGGTCAGAGCCTTGAGCATGCTGAGAAAGCACCCTACCCCTGAGCTATGTTCCTAGCTGCTGTAAATGCTTTTTGAAGGAAAAATGGGAAGCAACTATTTGCTCACCCAGAGTGAGTAATTGTTTTAGGTAAACTCGTGATATTCATACTGCTGGAAACTCCCTTCTAGGTATGAGTTACATCTTTTATTATATCTATAAATAAAGGTGTCTTGTCAAGATACCTGTCTTCCCCCATATACTGTAGGTAGGCATCATAGCTTTATGAAAAATGGTTCACTGTAGCCTAAATCCTAAGGGGCCCCATTATGTGCAGCTGGGATGCCACTGGTAGCACATTTAGTTCTTCTCTCCTCACCCTTTTCCCCAGATGATGGAGTTTCTGGAAGTAAAAAGCCCAAAATGGAGGTATCTGAAGAGGAGCTGAAGGCCCATATTGCCAAGGGCACGCTGGGCAAGCTCACGGTGCCCATGCTGAAGGAGGCCTGCAGGGTGCATGGGCTGAAGGGTGGGCTGAAGAAGCAGGAGCTGCTGGCTGCTCTCACTGAGCACTTCCAGAAGGACTGATGCTGACCACACACCCTCCCCGTGGCGAAGTTGCCTGCTTTTGTTCTCACCAAGTTAAAGGTGTTTTTCCTGAGCTGGGAGGAGTTGCCTTGCGGAAGCTGAGGACTTTACATTTGAAACTTGTTGGCACAGAGACCGCATGGCTCTCTCACTTGGCTTGTGCCTTACTCTATGTGAATAAAGAACCTTGACTTTGTACTGTGTACTGCTCTTTAGTGTGAAGGAGAAAGGTATGTCTGCCTTGCATCCAGAGAGCACTGGCCATCAGCTCTGAGCTTAATTTTCTCTCCTACTGGGAACACACATCGTGATGGAAACAGAAACCAAAAACAGAGGGGATGGGGAAGGATGTCACAGTCCAGGTCATATAAACATAGGTGCTTCAGGAATGACAAGCCTTAGCAAGACTCACTCTCCCAATCCCTGTCCTCCCACTTGTTTTCCTTCAAACATGCAGTATGCTAAGGTCTAAAAATCGGATTTCAGAAGCAATAAGAGTAACATTTTAAATTTTGGTATCATTTGCTTCATGAGTAAATAGCAACTTCCTCAGATTGTGTTCTTCTGAATATGCTATTAAAGTTTGAAGACATAAATTTTCTGTTTTCCTCAGAATTAGTTCCAGTATATGAGAAATTAAGAGTTATTTTTCAGAGGAGCATGGGAAGTTCAAGTTGAGAAGTCTAGTGTTAGGAGAACAGGGAGAAGAGGGAAATGTCTCTCCCTTTCTATTCTTCCTCCCCATCCCTCTATCTTCCTGGTGACTTTTCTGTTCTCTGATGCTCCTGCTTTTGAAGAATTAGCAGGAGGAGTATGTCGGAGGGCTAGTTTCCTGCTATAAAATCTACAGCCTTGGATTATCTGCTCTGAGGTTTGTACATTTTTAAACCTATATTTGGTTTTTGTGTTTGAAAAGAGGTGTCATGGATTGGGGTTGTAGCTCAGTGGTGGAGCGCTTGCCTAGCACATGTGAGGCACTGGGTTTGATCCTCAGCACCACATACAAATAAATAAAATAAAGGTATGGTGTCCATTTACAACTAAAAATATTTTTTAAAAAGAGATATTACATTCTTTTGGCATTTCTTTCCTTGGCAAGTCAGCAAGTCATTGGAGAGGAAAGATTTTTCCAATTAGAAAGTGCTTAGTACCTGCTGATTCTTATTGTTGAGAAATTGGGCCATTCTCGTTAAATGAAGCTTGCTTGGAAGCTCTGGATTCCGGAAAGGGCCAGTCTACAAAGACAGTCATCTGCAAGTGAGAGGGTAAGAAAGTGCCATCATTGCACCCTTGGTTTTCAGCCCTGGGTGTCCTAGGTAGTGAGGACAAACCCTCCAACGCATTCCTGGTTGGCTTTTCTGGGTGCTCCTGAGTGACCTTACTCAAATGTAGCCTCTTTCAAAGAATTCAAGGGACAAAGAACAAACACCAGAGCCCAACTATGTGAATGATGTTAGAAAAACCACCACTCAAGGTCTGTAATAAATAGTAGTTGTAGCCAAGTGTTGTGGTGCACATCTATAATTCCAGTGGCTTGTGAGACTGAGGCAGGAGGATCTCAAATTCAAAGGCAGCCTCAGAACTTAGTGAAGCCCTAAGCAACTGAGCGAGACCCTGTATCTAAATGAAATATAAAAAAGGGATTGGGGATGTGGCTCAGTGGTTAAGCGCCCTGGGTTCAATCCCTGGTACCAATAAGATAGATAGATTGAAAAAACGAACAAGGCTCGTCGTCGTTGGAGCAAATGCCCTTTTATTGAGGAACAGCTCTGCATATTTATCGAGCCAGGGGTGGTTTGACAGTTGGCATGGGGTGCTTTCTGATTGATGGGTAGGATCAGGTGAGCCAGCAGGGCTAGTCTGATTGGTGGGTAAGGATCATGTGAGCCAGCAGGGCTCACCATTGGACGGCTCTTCTTGGGGGATGGGGAAGTTAGTCTTTGGAGCCGGGTGACTCCCAACATTCCCCCCTCTTTGTTATTAAATGAGAGTGGGTGTTGACTCATTCAGCTGCTTCCTGCTGAAATGGGGTGGTGTGGGAGAAAGAGTGGAGGGAAGTAAGGAGCCCCCATAGGAGGGCAGAGAAGACCGGTATCAACGAAGGTTCCTTGCCACCACAGATCCAATGATGACGTCAGTCCATTTGGCATAGGTCTCAACTGGAGGTACCATCAGTAGCCAGGAGTTGGTAATTCCTGAGGAGAAGCTGGTTAAAAGCTTGATTAGAAATTTTACCCACCTGAGTCTGAATGAACTTTATGATAGAGGGAAGAAACAGGCACAGGGAGTTTTTATAGCCCAAATCTAATCGAATCTCTGGGTCTGCAAGCTGCCTTGTTGGCCCAAGGGGGGTTAAGTGTTCAACCCTGAGGGGGGGTGGTTGGTGGTGGTTGAGTGTTCAGCCTTGAGCAGGGGCTTGGGCGTTTGGGCTTGAAGCAAACAGGGGATATAGAACCAGACAGAGGGTTTGAGAAGCCAGGTCATTCTGCACCTAACTTTGTTTGGCATGACCTGCAGGCTCTGCAGACCAGCCTGTCCTGCACCTAACACCCTCAATTCTGCTCTTCATTCCTAGTCCAATCTAGCTCCCTCCCCTCTCTATTAAGGCTGCTCTTCAAACTTTCTCCTACCTGGGTGTACCAGCTTGATTCTCTCTTTGCCTTTCTCAAAGGCGGCCAAGGGAGGACGGTGGCCCATTGTTACCAAATTTCCCTTTGAGAGCAGTCAGATCTCTCCAGGTTTTATAGATAGATAGATAGATAGATAGATAGATAGATAGATAGATAGATAGATAGATCGTAGTTGCAACCTGTTTCTCTGATGATGCCTTCTCTGCCTATTGAGCTCCTCGGGAAGGAGGAAAGTCCACATTCAGATGTAATTGGACTTTTGAAAGCTCACAAGTCAGTAAATCTGTATATTGACTCCATTGCATATATACAATTGACCTTGGGCAATTGATCTAGCACGTCTGAGCCTCCGTTTCTTAGTTTGTACATCCCATTGAAAATCAGAAAATGTAAATGTAAGTGCTCACCAAGTACTTCTAGCTTCCACTGCCTCAGGCATGCTTTGATCCACCAGGTGGCGCTGTGAAGACTCCAGGAGCTACCAGTAGACCTGGCCCACTCCAAAGGTGCAGCCACACCAAGCCACCAGCAGTGATGGCAGCAGCTGGAAAGTAGATTCTGACTCTGTTGGGAGGAAACTCTATCAATCACGCCCACATCTCATATATGTGTGTTTACTCTAGGCCAGATGCAGAGGGAACGTTCAGAATGGCACTCACCAAGATGTTAACTGTGGTGAAGGGACGATTTCACTTTTTAGAGTGTAACCTTCTGTGATATCTTTTTGTCACAGTAAAAGCTAGAAGAGGGCTGGGGTTGTTGCTCAGTGGTAGAATACTTGCCTAGCATGAGTGAAACACTGGGTTCGATCCTCAGCACCACGTAAAATAAATGAATAAAAAAAAAGGTATTGTGTCCAATTACAGCTATTTTTTAAAATAAAATATAAAAGCTAGAAGAAAAGCAAGGCAGGACTATGAGCTCTGGAAGAGATTAGTCATCCACTGCCTCTCCTGTCATCCCGAAATCCTCAAATCCATATGGAGGGAAATGTGCACACCTATACTACACTCAGCATGTTTGAGCCTAAACTGCCACCAGAATGCACTAATCCTCCTTGTAACTTGACTGCATCATATGAAAACAGATCCTAAAGTTATTTATTTTCGGGCACTCTGAGGCACCCTGGAGCATCTCATAACCATTGAGGGATGCTGCCAGCACTTCAGTGTTCATTGTCCTGCCAAATCCCACTCCCTACTACCCCACCCCCCAACTACTAGGGATTGAACCAGGGACACCTTATCACTGAGTTACACACCCAACTCGTCTTATTTGAGATAGGATCTTGCTAAGTTCTGGAGGCTGGCTTCAAACTTGCCATCCTCTTGCCTCAGCCTCCTGAGTAGTTTGGATTATAGGCCAGTGCCACCATGCCTGGCTGCCCTGCCATTTTGACCTAACCATGTTTATTGCCATTTTGACAAGACATCTTCATCCTTTCATCCTCCTCCCCCACTTTATCTATTGCTTTGAAACAAATTACCTCAAAACTTTCAGCTTAAAGCAGCCATAAACATTCTCTTTCACCATTTCTGTGGATGAGGAATGTGGGAGATGATTGGCTGGGTAGTCTTGACTTAAAGTGAGTCATGAGGTGCATTCAAGATATTGACTAAGGCTGCAGTCATCTGAAAGCCTGATAGAGGCTGGAAGGTCCACTTGTAGGGAGGCTGTATTAATCATGTTTATTTTCTGTATTTTTTATGTTTTAAGGTCTTGGGTGGGCAAGTTTACAGGCCGAGAGAGAGTGCCCCTCCTAGATTCCTAAAGATGGTTAAAAAGTTACTTGAGAGAATGCCTTTCTTGCAAGCCAACCCCCTCCTTTATCTAGCTTTCACAATCTAGCCATTATATCTCCTGTCCTAAGTCATCCCAGTGAGACAGGGAACAACATGGGGACAGGATGTAGATGCTTTTCTGGGCCTTGGCTCATGGCCTAACAGTCGACCTTGGAAAGTTTGATGTGTGCCACTCTCAGTCGAGGTCAGTTTTGCAGCATTTGTGGTCAGGGTACCCTGTATGTATTCTTTTACATTTTTATTTGCAGTACTGGGAATTGAACCCAGGAACATTCCACCACAGAGCCTATCCCCAGCCCTTGCCAATTAATATTCCCACCCCTGCAAGTAACCACTAAAACCCTTTTGTTCAGGGAGCCAGCCTGACATCTTGTTGGATCTGTGTCTACTTTCCTAAATAGAAGCCCCAGTAAAAGCTTTCCCTGTGGGGCTGGGGATGTGGCTCAAGCGGTAGCGCACTCGCCTGGCATGAGTGCGGCCCGGGTTCGATCCTCAGCACCACATACAAACAAAGATGTTGTGTCCGCTGAAAACTAAAAAATAAAATAAAATAAATATTAAAATTCTCTCTCTCCTCTTTCTCTCTCTTAAAAAAAAAGCTTTCCCTGTATGTTTGCTAATCTGACTCAATTTCATTTCCATTGTCACAATACTTTTATTTATTTTTAAGTGGTGCTGAGGATTGAACCCAGGGCCTTGCATATGCTAGGTGAGCACTCTACCACTGAGCCACAACCCCAGCCCCTTCATTTCCATTGTCTTTGGGTCAAAAGATCCCTGTTTGGGGCTGGGGATGTGGCTCAGCGGTAGCGCGCTCGCCTGGCATGCTTGCGGCCCGGGTTCGATCCTCAGCACCACATACAAACAAAGATGTTGTGTCCGCCGAGAACTAAAAAAAATAAATATTAAAAAAAAAGAAAAAAAAAAGATCCCTGTTTGCAGCATCACCAAGACCCAGGAAGGAACCAGATAACTGGAGACCACACCTATTGCCCAAAGCCCACACGAATTATTCAGACTAGACAGTCCTAAGCCATTTACTCTGCCTTCCCCAAGGAAATACCAATTCAGGCTGTAGCCTAGGCCACATTCTTGCTTCTCCTGACCAAACTGAGGCTTCCTCTGAGGCTCTGTGGTATATCATGCCCTCTTGGTTAATGTAAATAAATTCTTTTTTTGTGGTACTGGAATTGAAATAAATTCTTCTTTCAATGGCATTGACCTCTCAGTGTTATCATTCAGTCACCTCTGTTCATTAAAATCCCATGGGTACCTGGGCACCATGGTGCATGCTTGAAATCCCAGTGACTAGGGAGGCTGAGACAGGAGGATCATAAGTTTGAAGCCAGCCTCAGCAACCTAGTGAAGCCCTAAGCAACTTGGCAAGATCCTGTCTTAAAATAAAAAGGGTTGGAGAGTGACTCAGTGGTTAAGGATCCCTGGTTCAATTCCCCAGTACCCAATAAATAAATAATCCCACAGGTACAAATGAGAGAGGTTGATTCCCATGGCTGGTTGACTATAGCATTTCAGACCTCTCCACAGCTGCTTTAAAGTCTTCACAACAAAGCTCATTCCCCTCAGAGCTGGTGATCTGAAGAGAAGACAGAAGCTACAGTGTTTTCTATTCTTTTTTCACAGGTCTGTAGCCCCTGGAACTCCAAGATTGAGGCAGAATTGCTTGAGACCCATACCTTTTTTTTTTTTTTTTTTTCATTTTGAGACACGGTCTAAGTTGCCCAGGCTGTTCTTAAACTTGCAGTGGTCCTCCCTTAGCCACTTGAATAGCTGGAACTATAGGTATATAGCTCTACACTCAGTTTCAGTGTCTCTTGTGAAGCCTAGAAGTCACATGTCACTTCTGTCACACTCTGTTATTCAGACCAACTCTGAGTTAGTGCAGGAAACTATACAGGAGCATAAATCCCACCCTCCACCATCACCACCACCCCCACAGGGAGCCATCGGAAGCTGGCTGCCCCAGTGCCTAGAAGAGAGTATTTATTTGCTACTCAAAATGTTTTTCCTTCATTCAAAAGAGAATATGCAATTGACTCCCCTTCTCCCCTCTACCCACCTTCCACCCAGAAGTTTTTCAAAATGTAACCCACTTGGCACTGCAAAAAGGGTCAGGGTATACAAAGTCCTCAGAGCAAATTTCTCTCTCTCCCTCTCCCATCCATGTTTAAGACCAAAGATAATGACAATGCATTCTTCAGTACTTAATGCTATAAATGAAAAATCTCTTTAGGTCTATTGTAAATGTAAAAATATTGCTTAATTGCAGGTCCTCAGGAAGCTTTTCAATTATAAGTTTCTTTTTTTTTTTTTTTCCATATTTATTTTTTTTTAGTTCTCGGCAGACACAACATCTTTGTATGTGGTGCTGAGGATCGAACCCGGGCCGCACGCATGCCAGGCGAGTGCGCTACCGCTTGAGCCACAACCCCAGCCCAATTATAAGTTTCTAACCAGCAATGTTTTGAGTCAGAGGATCCTTAGAGATTTGATGGGAGCCAAGGATTCTCTCTCCAAAAGAAAATGCTTATTCAGGGCTGGGGATGTGGCTCAAGCGGTAGCGCGCTTGCCTGGCATGTGTGGGACACTGGGCTCGATCCTCAGCACCACACAAAAATAAAAAAATAAAGATGTTGTGTCCACCGAAAACTAAAAAATAAATATTAAAAAAAAGAGAAAATGTTTATACACAAAAATTTGCAACCACCTTCATAGATGGTTGGTTAGGAATGGATAGATTTCCTCCCTGCCAACACATCCAGGCTTTAGTGCCTCTGTGCTGCAGGTGCTAGGACCTTGCACATTCATATCTAATGAGGACAATGATCAGAAAATGTCAGTCACTGGATTGATTTTTTTTTTGGTAGTTGGAGATGAACAGCATGCCTTTATTTGTTTATTTTTATGTGGTGCTAAGGACGGAACCCAGTGCTTCACATATGCTAGGCAAGCACTCTGCCACTGAGCTACAGCCCCAGCCCAAGTTCAAGTTTTAAAGTTTAAAAAGTTTAAAAGTTTAGGTTTTAAAAATGTTACAGGGCTGGGAGAAAAGGAAACAAAGTTAGAATGAGAGAGCCAGTGTAGTAAAGGGATATCAAGTGCAAAAGAGTGGGGGCTGGGGATGTGGCTCAAGCAGTAGTGCGCTCGCCTGGCATGCGTGCGGCCCGGGTTTGATCCTCAGCACCACATACAAAGATGTTGTGCCCGCCGAAAACTAAAAAATTAATATTAAAAAATTCTCTCTCTCTTTAAAAAAAAAGTACAAAAGAGTGGCAAACAGATTCAGAATATTCAGTAAACAAAATATAGAACACTGAGCAAAGTTGGAACTTCTAGGAGAGGCAGACACAGTGGAGGCCTGCAGAAGCAGGGGAGAACCCTGGGAGGTTTTTTCTGGAGACCTCTGGGAGAGGCAGACACAGGACAGGCAGTGGAGGCCTGCAGAAGCAGGGGAGAAACCCTGGGAGGATTTTTCTGGAGGCAATCAGATTGGTACCCTGTCCTGTAAAGGCATGCAGTGCAGCAGTGGGGACTGAGCCAAAACTATCAAATAGACTGAACAAAAGGGCTGAGGATCTCAGGAGCCCCTGCCTGCCCCTTCCTTAGGGTTCTTACGAATAGGCCCTAATTTTCATTTAGATGGAGTTTGGTTTTTCTTTTCTGGTGCTGGGTATTAAACCCAGGGCTTAAGCACATGCTTAAGCAAGTGCTCTACCATGGAGCTACATCTCAGCCCCTAAGTGCATTTCTTGAGCTCCTCTCTCCCAATTCTTTGGATTATGCTAAACATACATAACAAAAGCAAATACAAAAGTAAACACTACCTGAAACTTCATCCACAAATAAATGTAAAACTTCATCAGGAGTGGTGTTGATGCAAATGAGGAGAGAAATGATTAGTCCAGTAGGCACAGAATAGGTCCCCTTACCTCAATGGGCTTCCTGCTAAAGTGGGATTGGCCCAACACAGCCAAGAGAAAACTATCATTAATTTGACCACTGTGGTATCCAGTTGTTCGAATATGGGAAGAAAATTTCTTTATTCTGAGTTATTTGTATTTACACTCAGATAAAAAGTACTAGATAGGTGAGGTGGCAGTAGCTTCAGTCACCAATACCAATGCTGCATGTGCCTAACTCTGCAATAATGATTCCTGACAATGTCTGAAAATGTTTTTTGGTCGGGGGCAGCAGTGGGTTGCTACTGCCCCCTAAATGGGTAGGGGCTGGGGATGCTGCTAAATATCTCAGAACACTGAGTATCCCTTGCAAATTAACCAGGCTAAATGTCATGAGGATGAGTGTTTTCTACAGTGATAGCAACTCAGATGACTTGAGTCTCTATGAGAAGACATTTTGAACTGCTAAACCAAAAACTATCTTGCAGGAAATGATGGCTTTTAGCCTTTTGGTCAAAAAGTCAAAGCTATAACTTGCTGGGGTAAAGCATGTTTAGCATGCACAAAGCTCAGGGTTTAATCCTAGCACTGAGGAAGGTGGTGGGGGGCGAGGGGAAGCAGCACCTATAACCACTCTAGTAATGCTAAGCATTTCTTCATTTAAATATTAGCTGGATAATACCTACTAATAATCAGGCACTGTCACACTTTCTTTAAAATGGAATATGAATATATGTTTTTTATTAGTATGCTCAAGAATGAACACTCTCCTGGGACAAAGAATATCTGACCATGTTGTGGCAGGAAATGGGTGAGGGCTCCAGAGCTGGTGCTAAGTGGCCACTGAAGAAATTCCATTCAAAGAGGATGCTTTCTGGATCCCATCATCTCTCTGTAGCTTCCAGCCAGGTCTCCATGATTTCCCCAGAATCCCTCATTCCAGCACCAGATGACACTTTTTCCCTTGCCACTCCTGACTCTTCCGAGATCCAGGTCGATTGTCCCCCATGCCCGCTCACCCATGTTGTCTTTGGAATCCTGCAGCTATGCTGCTGCTCTGTCACCCTCAGGGTGTAGCTGGGGCAAGAATTTAACATCACATTACCAAAAGCACACGGGACATAAGCCCAACAACTTCAAAGAACACCTGCTTCCTCCCAAAATGACACATAATCTTGAGGGGAGAGTAGGTGAGAGAAGGACATCATGATAACATGTACAGAGAGTCTGTATGCCAGGCACAAGGGATCTTAAGTCAGAGTGGCCAGGGTCCATTCTCATCCCATCCTGCACACTTGGGAGCGAGTGGATGAAAGCTGCAAGAGATGCCTCTCCTGGCTCAGGCAGGTTGCTACTGGCTCTTCCTGCCTTAGGTGCCACAATTCTGCTATCTGTTTTGGGTACTGGCTCATTTTTCAAAAGGGAAAGTAAAAGAACGGCTGAGGGTAGAAGGGGAGATGTGAAACAAAACAATACAAAAATCCAGAAAACAGATTTAGTACAATACTTTGTAATAGAAAGCCGCTGACTACATGCTAAGACAGACAATATGATACACAACCTGGGTTGGTGGGGAGAGCAGGGCAGAGGCCGGCCACAGGTTTAGACTAAGAGCCTTTCAATAGACTGCTGAATGGACTGGATCTGCTGCTTCAGTTGAGAGCCTTCTTTGATGGTGACAGAACAGGCAATGACAGGCCTGGAAACCCCACAAGCCCGCCCTAGGGCCTGCTTGGAACGCACAAACACATAGGGCACATTCTTGTCTTCACATAGCAGTGGGAGGTGCAGGATGATCTCCAGAGGTTCAGCATCTGCAGCCATCACAATGAACTCAGAGATGCCTCTGTTGAGAGTTTTGGTGGCTGTGGAGACAAACAGGCCAATAGGTGACAGGGGGCTTGAGCAAGGCAGACCCAACAATTTCCCACAAAACCTCACCAATACAAAGCAGAGCGGTCGAGTACTTCTATTGTGTGTGTGTTTGCACTGGGAATTGAACCCAGGGACGCTTAACCACTGAGCCACATCCCTAGGCTTTTTAAAAATTTTATTTTCTTAACTTAGGACCTCACTAAGTTACTGAGGTTGGTTTTGAACTTGCAATCCTCCTGCCTCAGCCTCCTGAGTTTCTGGGATTATGAGAATTCACCACCATGGCTAGAGTGTAAAGCTTCTATCTGCCACCAAGGTTTCAGTTCTGTATTCAAATTTTACCTCAGGAAAACCTCCCCTAAATATTCCATCTGAAGAGACATTTTCCCCAACTCTACTTTATCTTTAGCTCTAAGGCAGGGACTTGGTTTTGATCACCATTGCACTGTCAGCATACAGACATGTGCCTGACACACGGCAATTAGATATAGGAAGAATGAATAGTTGAAACAAGGCAGAAGACAAGGAAATTGTTGCCCCTCCCTTTCTGAACCCTAGTAAGCACATTCTGAACCCAGCATCTCATTCAAGGACCCTCCCACCCAGCGTCCTGGCACCTCTGGGTCTAGCACCATGCAAGGTATGGCAGGGCAGGAGAAGTCAAGATGGTCCTGTCTGAATCCTCATTTACACATGGAGCAAGAACTCATGCCCCAATACCAGGCCAAAAGCAGGGCTGAAAAGAGTACCATGTCCACAGAGACACATGAATGGTTTGCTTTGTCTTTGTTTAGCAACACAGGTGAGTGAGCTCATAGTCATCCTGAATCTCAAACACAGGCCCAAATGCCTGTTGTCTCAGAATCTTTGGAGACAAAAGGACTCTCCCCAAGTAAACCACTTGCCATCAGACACTGAAAAGCATTAATATCCCTTTCCTTTTGATGGCTCTGGAGAGAGTACAAAGTTAATACAAATGGTTCTGCACAAGTAGACAAACAAATAAGATGCTTTATATATTAAGGGAGAAGGAAGGAGCGAGGTGTGGTGGTACACACCTGTTATCCCAGCTACTTGGGAGGCCAAGTCAGAAAGATTGTAGTGGAGGCCAGCCTGGGCTACTTAGCAAGTTTCAAAATGAAAAATAAAAGAGATAGAGGGACTGGGGTTGTGGCTCAGTGGTATAGCACTTGCCTAGCATGTGTGAGGCACTGGGCTCAATTCTCAGCACTGCATATAAATAAATAAAGATCCACCAACAATAAAAATATTGAGAGAGAGAGAGAGAGAAAGAATATGAATATGTAGCACAGTGGTAGAGAGCTTGCTCATCATGCATGAAGCCCTGGGCTCAATTCCCAGTATCACTAAAAAAAAAAAAAAAGGTGAGAGAAAGAGAATGTGGCAAATTAACAAGGATGAGTCTAAAAATATTCTAAGCATATTAGCCTTTTTTATCTAGTCAAAATGCTGCTGCTCTCAAACCTTCCTATACCCAATAATATCCAGGGCATGGCAGTTCATGCCTATAGTCCCAGCTACTTGGGAGGCTAAGGAGAATGCTCAGTGCTAAGGCCCAGGAGTTTGGGGCCAGTGCTGGCAACATAGCAAGACTTGGTCTCAGAAGGGGGAAAAAAGAAAAGAAAAGAAAAATTCTGGCCCTCCTTACAAATCAGAAATCTAGACCAGAGACCCCAGGAGACAGGTGCTGTCATCATTCCCCCAGCAGCACCCTGCAGTACCTTACCCTCATTGGCTCCTTTCCGAAGTTGCTTGTAGTTACATGACTGCTGAACAAGGTCCAACAGTTTCTTGGTGAGGTGGGCATCTGCAAGGGGATAAGCCTTTGGATTTACATCAGCCTCAGTCTGCAGGGGGAAATATCAGTCAGAAAATACTAATCAATTGAGTGACACAGGTGGTCAGTGTACTTCCTACTCCCCCACCCACCCACACACTTTTTTTAATATTTATTTTTTAGTTGGACACAATACCTTTATTTATTTATTTATTTGTGGTGCTGAGGATCGAACCCAGGGCCTTGCACATGGTAGGTGAACACTCTACTGCTGAGCCACAACCCCAGCCTACATACACACTTAATGTATTAACACTAGCCTGCCCACTCTCAGCTTAGAAAAACTAAAATATACTATTAAAGGCTAAAAGGGAAGGCAAGCAATTATATAGCCCAATAATGTATATTAAAACTTATATACTTTTATTTGCTTTTCTTTAGCCTAATGCCTGGTAATATTAGAGCAAATGGGTTATAAAAGGTCTCCTATGGTTCACCAGCCACTTGAGTTTCATGGGATAATCTTTAAATTAGGATTTCCATATCCACACTCCAAATTTACTGAATCAAAATTAAGATATAATTTACAGTAAACATAGCATAAACTTCTCTCTCCATTCCCCAAGTCCACCTGAAAATCTCATTTCAGTCCATAGCAAGTGGTTCCTAGTAATAACTACACTTCCTTGCTTATTCTACCCTATAATACACACAAATGGTTTATTCAAAAGTTACTTCAATTCATTTTCTCTTTGGGGTTATCAATTTGATATACAATTGACTGTACTGTTTGCTTTTTTTTTGGTACCGGGGATTGAACTCAGAGGCACTCCTACTGTATCACATCCCCAGCCCTGTTTTGTATTTTCTTTAGAAACAGGATCTGAGCTGTTTAGTGCCTTGCTTTTGCTGAGGCTGGCTTTGAACTCAAGATCCTTCTGCCTCAGGCTCCCAAGCAGCTGGGAGTATAGGTGTGTGCCATTGTGCCCACTGGATCCCCACCCCCCACCCCACCCCCCGCCGGTGCTGGGAGTTGAACCTAGGGCTTCAGCCATGCTGGACAAGCACTCTACCACTGAGCCACATCCCCAGCCTAGTTACTGTTTTTTTGTATTTACCATACTATACATTTTAGTGTTGAGTGTACACCTACTTATAAGAAAATGTTTACCATAAAACAGGATGCCCTGTAATGCAAGCAGCATCCTTTGTAAATCTCTAGTTTACTGAATCTCCTCTTTTATCAAGAGGCCACAAAGGCGACTGACCTATTAACATCCAGATCTGTGTACACATCATGATGTTCACATAACCACAAAATCAGCTAACAACACAATTTTCAGAACATACACTGAAGCCAGAATTAGACAGTGAGTATAGTAAATCTAGCCAGGTCAGATCAAGGAGGCCAATTTTGAGTCCTACAAGTTGGAGACTGTCCCCTGAGGGATTGAAATGTTAATTCCTTCAGAGCCCTTCCTCTACCCTCATCAAGAATCTCCCCCAGCTCCAACCTGTTGCCAAGGTAACCTGTCCCAGGAATTGTGTCTCCATACAGGGAACTATAAGGTTGATAATGTGTCCTGGGCTGCTCCATACTGCCCTTTCCCCTTCAGCCCACCTGTTTCCCACCTTTTGGCCATCCCACCAAGCATTCCTGGGTCTAGTCACATATGCAGGAGGAGAAAGATACAGGGAAGAGGGCAGGAAAACAGAGGAAGCCTAGGACACATAAAAAGGGCAGAACACCTGGGAATGCCAGGATACCAGCTATGGCTCCCTTCTCCCTCCCGGGAGAAGTCTATGTTACTCCTTTTAAAATAAAACTTACTTTATATGCTTTCCTCTGCATGCTTCTTTAATGTTCAAACTTCAACATTTGAGGGAGCAGACACCCGGGTGATGTCATTACCTGTCCTTTAACGATGCATGACTGCACTAACTCCATAACAACCATTAGGGCAAGTGCTTAAGCAGCAGTACCACACTTGATTTCAACATCTTCACTGTGAGGATGGCCTTAGGCCTGAGCCTAAGCAACTCCATTTTAAAAACTCCCAGTTTGAAACCTGCAAGTCTCACCAGGTAAGCCCTCCAGTATGGTCCTCAGGCATAAACAAGTCACTTCCCCCGCCTTGATAAGCTCAGAGTGAAGCCTCTGGCAGGCTGTCCTCACGTATAAGAGGAAAAGGTGAAAAGATCAGGGTGGGACCACCAGACCAGATGTTTTTAACCCCAGGGTAAATGATGTCACTGAGAAATCCAGTGGTAGCTGATAAGGATTGAAAGGGGGATCAAAAGGCCCAAAATTTGGTATAAATAATAGAGCAAATGAACAGGGATTCAGCCAGCTGACACTGATGCCCACAAGCCTGAACCTCTGCATCGTTCTCACTGCTCTCAAACTCTACAGCCACATCTTGACCCTGATGGAGTGGCATCTTCTCCCTGGCTCCTCTCCTCAACTGGCTGTCAGCTCCACCCCAGGAGAAGCCTGCCTTGGTTCCTAATCTGATCACCAAGGTCTGAGTGACTGTGTACCTGCTTTACTTAAAGCCTAAGGCTTGAGACTTTTGACCTGACACTTGAACTTAACATGCAGAAGCAATGTCTGTCATTAACCTGTCATGATTGTGTTGGCAATGCTTAGAATTAATTAATCTTGTTTGCTGTGAATTAATTAATCTAGAGTTGTTTGCTGCAAATTGATTATGTCTATTGCAGTGCCTAGCATTAAGAATTGTTGTTTTTCTTGATTAAGAACTTATAGAATGAAATTGTATAGAATGACTTGACTAAAGCATTGGAAAGGGCAGAAGCACGTGGACATTCTATATTGCTCCCCCTGGACTGTATAAGTTGCAATCTTTTGCCCAGCGCTACACTCATGCACTGTTATGTTCATTTTATGGCCAAGAGAAAATACAACAAAGTTCAACCTGAAACCAGGAGCTTCCAAAACTTTTCACTGAACTGTGTTAAAACGGGTACTGGTTTAGAAGCTTCAAGTTCTAGACTCTGCCATATACTGGCTTTACGTAGCGCAGGGTGGGAGCAAAAAACAAAAGGTAATTCCAAAGGGGTCCAAACTTGGTAGGATTAAAACCTCACTATAAAATATAAGTTCTTTGCAAAAGTCTTCCCTTCTTACCAAGAGCCAACCCAAAGTAACTCCATCATGACACAAGAATTGGAACTCTCGCTAGATGACTACAAGTTGGAGACAAATGTTAACTGCCGCATGTGGTGCTACCAAGCACCACCTTGGATTTCTGAGACCACGGTCTCGCAAGAAGAGCTATTCCTGTGCTCCAGACCACTCCACATTCCCCAAGGCCAGCAAACGCTCCCTGGCACGTGCTGAATCGCCACTAGGTGCAGACCCACGGAGAGCTCCCCCTCCTGAATACCAGCAACAGGAACAGGGTGGGACAGGTGAGGCTGATCCGAATTCAGGGTTCCACATCACCCTCGCAAAGGTAAATAAACAACAAGTAAGGGAAACCAAAGAATCATCAATTTTCCACCATATCGCCCACGTGGGCTGATCTCTCCCCCAGGCAGGGCCAGGCCCTCTCCTCTGCTCACCGCAGGCCTTCGGCCACGCAAAAAGACTAATGCAATGGCCCGGCTCCTGCGGTTTCCCGAGTTGGGACCTGGGGCCGACTGTTGGGACCCCGCGGCGGCCAGCGCTCCAACTCCGGGCCGGGCAGCCGGCGACTGGCGGCTCAGGCCGCGCTCGTCCTAAGCCTCCATGGGACGGCGAGTGACCCCGAAGCCCGCGAACCCCGCTTCCGGGTCCCGAGGCCAGGCTCACGCACTCACCATGGCTGCGGTCACGTTGGCTCGCCACTCTCCAACAGCAGCCGAAGTCGGCGGAGTCGGAAAGCCGCACGGACGGAGGAGCGGAAATGGCCGCGCGCGCGGCAGGAAGCGGAAGTGATGTCACTACGACTGGCGGACCTCGCCGCTAAAAGGCCCCTTGGTGAAAACCGCGTGTGTCTGGGAAAGGGGTTATGTTTTGCTGTCTTTATTAGCGGTCTACTATAAATGTTGATAGAAACTGAATCAGATATTCAGAAAGTAGCGCGCGAGACGAAGGGTTTCAGTGATGTCATCATCCTATCGCCAGTTCATTTTACTTTTTTGGTGCTGGGCATTGAACCCAGGTGCGCTTCATTTATTTAAAAAAAAAAATTTAAAAACTATATATTTTTAATTGTGGATGGATACAATACCTTTATTTTATTTATTTGTTTTTATGTGGTGCTGAGGATCGAATCCAGTGCCTCACGCATTCTAGGCAAGCGCTCCACCACTGAGTTACAACCACAGCATCTATTTTATTTTTTTTATTTTATTTTGAGACAAGGTCTCACAAAATGGCTTAGGAACTCGTTGAGTTGCCCAGGCTGGCCTCGAACTTGCCTCCTGCTTCAGCCTTCTGGGTCGCTGGGATTACAGGCGAGGTCAAAGCATGTCTGTGGCATGCCACCATGCCCATCTTGCCAGTACATTTTTTTAAAAATATTTTTTTAGTTGAAAGATGGACACACCTTTATTTTATTTGCTTATTTTTATGTGGTGCCAGGGAACGAATCCAGTGCCCACAACCCCAGCCCCGCCAGTACATTTTTTTTTATTGCATTCCTATTTTTTTAAATTTAATTTTTTTTTAGTTATAGATGGACACAATGTCTTTATTTTGTTTTTATTTATTTTTATGTGATGCTGCTGATGGAACCCAGGGCCCCAAATTTGCAAGGCAAGCGCTTTACCGCTGAGCCACAACCCCAGCTCCATTCCTATTCTTTTAAAAGCATCCTTCCCACTACTCTACACTGGGGAGGGAAGATAATTATAGGTAATCCTAAATATTATCTTCATCTTCAGATGTCCCTTGTGAACGTTTATGGTGAGGAATGGAGTTAGAATCAGGAAGAAAAGCAAGTTTGGGGTTGGTGGGTAAGGGTTGCATTACTGTCAGGTTCTTTGTAGTTATTTGCTGACCTGACTTGGACTTTCCTTCTGGTTAGCATCTTGCTCTGTGCTCCGTGGTGATCCAGATCTCTATTAATACAGGCAGGTCCTCCTTGATGTTTATGGTCCATACTCATCTCTCTCCAACCTGCCTCCACAGGTCTTGGAATCATTGGGAACTAGTCAAAACTAGACTAATTGGGACTAATTCCAGTTAATTCCTTTGGAAATGTAGGAGTTGAGAACTGGCAAGACCCTTAGAAATCATGCAACACAACATTATCTTTACAGATAGGAAAACTGAGGTTCAGGAAAGGAAGCTTGCCTATGGTCACAGAGTGAGTCAATGGCAGAACCAAAACTGGACCCTGGGATTTTTGACACTCTCCTGGTTTATTTCCACCACATCTTGTTGCTCTACCTGAGATATTTTGAGGAACAGGACTATGGGAAGAGCTTGAGCTGTGTCCAAGTTTAAAGTTTGATTACATCAGAGATCCCTCATCAAACTTTACCTCTTGAAAATCTGATGTGACTTGTCAAAGAAAAAAAAAAATCTAAAAATTAAGTAATGTCCATCGAGGGCTCCAGTAAAGAGTAGAACCTGTGATGCAGACTCTGCTCCTTGCTTTTGTTGGATCCTGGGTTTTTTGTTTTTTGAGGGTTTTTTGGGCTCCATATTATTTGGACCTATCAGCTACTATTGTTGAGAAATGAAACATTATCCAATTTTCAGTCATAAATATGTTCTTATTGTTTGCTTCCTAGATGTCCTTTTAAACAATTTATGATTACTATTTGATCTACCTGACATCTTGAACTGTCATGTCCCAGATCTTCCTAGTAGTGACTGATAGGGATATTTTTATGATCATGGGTAATGAGAAAGTGCATGTTACTTAATTGTCTAATGAATTTTGCTTCACAACTATGTAATTTCTCAACCTCCATGTTTTCTCAGAACCATCTCATCCTTCTTATCTTGCTGTTGTTTCCCTAGCTAGTAAATTAATAAATGCTGATATGATCTCAGGATTAATTTATTTTAGAAATTTACATCACCAGTGTGCTTAAAACACTAGATGTGCCAGGTGCAATGGTGCACACTTGTATTCTCAGTGACTCGGAAGGCTGAGGCAGGAGGATCACAAGTTTAAGACCAAACTCACCAATTTAACAAAACCTTGTTTCAAAATAAAAAATAAAAATGGCTGGGGACAGCCAGGCACAGTGGCACATGCCTGTAATCCCAGCAACTTCGGAGGTGGATGCAGAAGGATCTCAAGTTTGAGGCCAGCCTTGGCAACTTAGTAAGACCCTCAGCAGCTTAGCAAGACCCTGTCTCAAAATTAAAAAAGGGCTGGGGATATAGCTCAGTGGTAGAGTGCCTCTGAGTTGAATCCTTGGTACAAACAAAACAAAACAAAAAAACAGAAACAAAAATACCCCAAATGCTTGAGGTACCCCTCTAGGCCCCTTTCCACGAGTATTTTCCCAGGCCTTCATGTTACATCTCCACCCACAGTCTTTTGCTGTTCTGAGTACAGCAATTTTTTTTTTCCAACCCCATCAGTCACCCTCTGTTGGGACTGTGCCATGATCTGAAAATGATTTGATTGTCCCCCTCCCCATCAACTCATACAGAAGTTTAATCCCTGATGTTATATATTAATAGTATTAAGAGTATGGAACTTTATCCACTTTGGTGTTTAGAGGTGGAGCCTTTGGGAAGTGATTAGGATTAGATAAAGCCATTAGGGTGGAGCCCCCATATTAAATCCTGATGGATTTTTAAGGCGGGGGAGGGAAGGAGGGGAAAGGTAGAGAGGGAAAAGGAGGAGGGAAGGAGGGAAACAGACTATGTATACATATGTGTGCTCCCTGCCTCATGCCATGTGATGCTCTGTGCCACCTTGGGACTCTGCCAGAAAGAAGGCCATCACTAGATAAGGCCTTTTGACTTTGCACTCCAGAACCATGAGCCAAAATAAATCTTTTTTGTTTGTAAAGTAGCCTGCCTCAGGTATTTCATTATAGTAACATAAAATATATTAATATAGCTAGGCATGCAGCATTCCTGTAATCTGAGCAATTTGGGAGGCTGAGGTAGGATTGCAAGTTTAAGGACAATCTAGCAAGACCTTGTCTCAAAATAAAAAATAAATGGTCTGGAGATTGGTGATGTAGCTCAGGAGTTCAATCTCCAGTACTACTACTTACTACTACAAACAAACAAACAAACAAAACCCAACAGACAAAAATAGAGTGATTTGTTCCACTGTGCTGCTTGCTGAGCTAAGTCCTGTTTAACACCTCTCATTGAAATCTCCTTAATCACCCTGACTAGGTAATTGCCCCTACTATATAGGAGCCATAGTTACCTCCATTTGATCTTTGTAGTACTTGTTGGCTTTACTTTCTTCAGTGTCTATCTTCCCAATCACAACAAGAACTCCAGGAGAACAGAACTTGCAGCTGCCTTGGGCCTTTTGGAAACTGTGGGACTCTCAATAAGATGGTGTTAGAAAGCATTTATTACAGATGTAGGCTCGTATTGGGTGCTTTTGGGGAGGGTTCAAAGAAGTTGGATTTGCTCTAGATCAGATATGTCAGAAAGTATGGGTTTTTCTTTCTTTCTTTTTTGGTACTGGAGATTGTGGGGATTGAACTCGAGGGCATTCAACCACTGAGCCTCTTCCCCAGCCCTATTTTGTGTTTTATTTAGAGATAGGGTCTCACTGAGTAGCTCGAGGGCCTTGCTAAGTTGCTGAGGCTGGCGGTGAACTTGCATTCCTCATGCCTCAACCTCTGAGTTACTGGGATAACAGGTGTGCGCCACTGTGCCTGGCAATTTTTTTTACTTCTTTTCATTCCTTTTGAGCACTTATCCAGCACTGTTCTTAACCTATATCCTAGGCATGCAAGCTCAGAGCAGTGACTGGAGCTGAGGCTGGGCATCCTTTGTGAGGTGGCCTTAGTGACAGAGGTGCTACGAAGCAGAGGCTGCCCCACCCCAAATTGACTGGGTCAGCCACACCAGCCTTTCCCTCCAGCTCCCTGACACCATCTGCCAAACCTAAGCACTGTGATGCTGCTGCCGCTGCTGGGCGCCTGTGCTGTGGTGGGGCCATTCCAGGGTCCTGAGTGGGAGCCAGTTCGGGGCCTGATCTCACAGGATTGCAGCTGTAGAGACCCCTGGTGCTGTGGCAATCTGCTTGTTCTCTGCCTCTTTCTGATCTGGCAGGTCCGGCACTATTGGCATCACTTCACCAGGAATCGCCTGCTCAGAAGGAGTATTATCAAGGTGAGGGGGCCCTTCACACTTCCACTGTCTTTCCCTCGGCACCATCATTGCCACAGCCACATGCTACAAGGACCCTGTCATATGCCCTGTGTACCAGAGATGAGTACCTCAGACTGGTTAGAGCAAGCATCATCCAGACCCCAACATAGGAGTTACTCTTGACTCCTGTCTTTTCCTTGCTCCACACATTGAATCCACTTGCAAGCCACGTCTCAAATCTGATCACATCTTGAAACTTCACCATACCACCTTGGGCAGAGGTGCCAGCAAGACTCACCTGAACCTCAGGAACAGCTTCTGCTCGGTCCTGTTGCCTGTCTGACCCACCCGTGGCAGTCTTCCACACTATGCACCTGCCATAATGACCTTTCTGTCTTTCTCCCCCACCCACTTCGATGCTGGAGATCAAATCCAGGATCTTATGCATGCTGGGCAACTGCCCAACCACTGAGCTATATCTCCAGCCCTGCCTTCTCTCTCTCTCTCTCCCCCCCCACCCTCTCCCTATAAGTTGAATTCAAAGATAATATGCACACACAAATCACAAATGTATAGACCAGCGAATTTTCACAAATAGAACACACCCATACGCCAATATCCAGGTTAAGAAACAGACCGCTGGGCAGACGGGGGTTGCTTAGTGGTAGAGTGTTTGCCTGGCTTTCCTGCAATCATATGGCAAATGTTCTATGCCTGGTTTAAATCCAACAGTATACTTGTAGGCCAGAAAAAAAAAAAACTTTTAAAACAAGTCATAGCATTTTGCTGCTGAAATGTTTCCTGTGAATACATTCCTTGTCAAATTCAGAGTAAAATCCGAACTTCTAACCCCGTCTCCAAGACCTTTTCTTGCTGCTGGCTCCATTCTGGACATATGGGCCTTCTTGCTTTTCCTGCACACATGATCTTATTCTATCTTCAAGGCTTTTCCAAATGTCTCCTTTGCCTACAATGCTCTTTCCTCACTTGTCACTTGGTTTGTCCCTCACTTCCTTCAGGCCTCCATCAAATACCCTCTCCAAGAACCCTTTAATGGCTACTTTGTCTAAAGAAGCTAACCCCCATCCCCACACCCTGATTTATTTGCATTTAAATACTTTTTGATACCTAACATTATGTTATATATTTGGTTATTGTCTTTCTTGCATGTCTAGAATTTAGCTCCCAGAGGGATTTTGTCTTGTGCCCAGCCCAGAATAATCTCTCAGTCTTTTTTGAATGAATGAACACTGTTTGCCTTAAGGGGGTGACTTTCCCTTTCCTGAGCCCAAGCATCTTTCTCTGGATAATGGGGATAGTCATTCTGATCTGTGGGGATTATATAAGCTAATCTATGTACAACATTTAAAAAAAAATTTAATTTTTTAATTTGTTATAATTAAGGAATTTTGTTTTTTTGGATCTCATCTACAGGTGCCATCGCAGAAGTGGGCAATGCCCTCCATGAGATGTGAAATTTTCTTTAGGCTAGCTCCTGAATTCGTCAGTCCTGGCGATTTCAGAGGCCGTGATGCTCATGTCCAACAATGGGTACAAAAGCAGAGGTGGAGATACCGAAAGAGCCTTCTAGAATCATGGACCCAGAACATGTTCTCTTCACAAAATCTGCTTCAGGACTCATCTTGGGGTGCTCACACCTTGCATGAGCCCATCTTTTGTATCTCCTCCTTTTCAAGCACCTGTCCACTCTCTCAGGACAGTTCCTGGGAAACATGGCAGGTATCCTGGTGTCTCAAGGGCAGCCAGACTCACTCTGCCCTAGACACATGCCAAAGGATTGGGCGACTGCTGGTTCACTCCCAGGAGAAGTTGGTACCACTGGAGCATGTCCTCAGCAGAAAAATCTGTTCCCCTCCCATGACATTTGTCATCTCTCTCCCAAAGCTCCCTTCAGCTCAGAGGCTGCAATTCTGCTCTGGACAGTTTCTGCCTGATCCTGCCCACCAACAAATGGTAATATCCACCTGGAAGTTCTGGAATAACCCACAAGACACCTGGGCACCACTGAGTGAAACCCAGACAATAGGCAGAGAGTATTCTAGAGAGACTCAGGCCCCAGGGTGGGCAAACCAGAGAGAGAGCAGAGGGGTATATGCTTGGGAAATCAAGGCATCTGGGGGCCAACTCTCAATAGACTTTGGAACGGAGCATTGTGCAGAGGCTAAGGATCTGGAGTGCAGAAACCAGTCACTGGTTATAAATGAAACTGATGGAGAGATCCTGATTCCAGGGCAGAAGAACCGGATGGAAATTGAAAATCAAGCCCAAATTGAGGAAGTAGGGAAGAAAATCCAGAGGGAGGCAGGAGGTAAGAACCCTCCTGAAACCCAGATTCACATGGGAGAGAATCAAGAACAGTTAAGATGTAAAGTTGATGCAAAGACCCAAACACCACGGTGGGGATACCAGGAGAAGAGTGGGGGTGGGGGTACTTTGGAGATTCAGACATTTGAGAGGAAGAACAAGAAAGAGCCCAGAAAGGAGGAAGAGGGAGAGATTCAGGCCCATGGACTAGGGAAGCAGGGCCAGACTGGAGGTGAGAATGCTGCGGAGGCCCAGATTCCAGAGTGCAGGAAACAAAACCAGACTGGAGGTGACCCTTCTGCCTAGAAACTGAGGCAGAAGAAGGGAGAAACAAGGATCAGGTTGGAAATGAGGATGCTGTGCAAACCCCGACATCTGGGAGGGAGAACCTGGAAGACGTCAAACAAGAGAATAGAACAGGGGGCCAGGCCCTGGGATGGGGCAAACAGGAATGCAGCAGAAGTGATAATATTACAGAAATCCAGGCACTCATGGGGGAGAAACAGGGTCAGGGTGGAGGTGAGAATGCCAGAGAGACTCAGGCATCTAGGGGAGAGAAACAGAAACTCTCAAGACATGCAGTTCAAGTGAGGCAGGGAAACCAAGGCCTGGGAAAAGGAGAGGAGGCTGTGCGACCCAGGATGTCTAGGAGGAAGAAGTTGAAGGAGATAAGAAAGGAGGATTGGGTGGTGATCCAGACACGCTGGTGGGGAAACCAGAGCCCAGTAATGAATGAAATTGACAGACAATTCAAGATATTATGTTGAGGGAATAAGAACCAAATTGGAGGTGGACCCAGAGCAAAAATTCAGTCACCAGAGGAGAAAGATAAGAGGAAGGATGGAGATGAGGATGGTATAGATACCCTGGTGCTTGAGGCAGAGAACCAAGGATTATTAAGAAATGAAGTGAATGAGGAGACCCATTCAGCAGGAAGGAAGAATGAGGAGCAATTTGGAGTTGAGAATGGAGCAGACATTCAGGCACTAGGGAAGAGAAATCCAAGAGGGTTTAAAGACAAAAATGGTACAATGAACCAGGAACTTGGGGGAGAAAATCAGGGCCAGTTAGAAAATGAATTCCATGGAAATATTTGCATACCACAGTGGAAGAATCAGGAGCATATTAGAGGCAAGGATGGTGCAAACACCCAGATACTTGAGGCAAGGAACTGGGGAGAATTAACAAGTAAAAGTGATGGAGAAACCCATTCAGCAGAGTGGAAGAAAGTAGAGCATACCGAGGGTGAGAGTAGTGCAGAAATTCTGTTACAAGGGATGAGAAATCTGAGAGAAGCAGAAGAGGAGGATGGTATAGAAACCTGGGAAGGTGGGGAGAGAAGCCAGAGTCACTCAGGAAGTGATATAGATAGGATGATTCATTCATCACAATGGAAAAACCAGAAGCAGATGGAAGGTAAGGATGGAACAGAAATTCTGTCCCCAAAGAAGAGAAAACAGAGACAACCTGAAGGTGAGGATGATATAAAAACCCAGAAGCCTGAGAACCAGGGACAGTTGGAGAATGTAATTGGAAGGAGCCATTCCCCAAGAATGGGGAGCTGGGGGCAGACTGAAGGAGAGAACATTGCAGAAAATCAGGCATCAGAGGAGAAAAACCAGAGAGAGGCTGGAATTGAGAATGGTAGAAAGGTTCACATACCTAGGGAGAAAAATCAGAGTCTGCTAAGAAGTAAAGTTCATAGAAAGACCTGTTCATCAGAATGTAAAGTTCACAGAAGAAACTGTTCATCAGGATGTAAAGTTCACACAAGGACCTGTTCATCAGAATGTAAAGCTCACAGAAGGACCTGTCCACCAGAATGTAAAGTTCACACAAGGACCTGTTCATCAGGATGTAAAGCTCACAGAAGAACCTGTCCACCAGAATGTAAGAAACAGGAAGAGATTGGAGGTGGGAATGGTGCAGAAACTCAAATACGAGGGAAGAGAAACCCAAGAAGGTCTACAGGTGGTGACAGCACAAAGATGCAGGCATCTGTGGAAGATGACCAGGGACAGTCCAGAAGGGAAATTGATGGAGAGGTTCATAAACAAGGGCAAGGAAACCAGAACCAGGGTGGAGATGCTGCTGCTGCTGCTACAGAAATCTGGAACGTAGAGAGTCAGAGAAAGTACAGAGCTAAGGATGATGGAGGGCCTCAGACATCCAGGAGAGGAAACACGAGCCAAATCAGAGAAAAGAATGCTATGGGGGCCAGTCACCAAAGGGAATATCCTTCAGGTGAGAGGCCCACAGGCAGGAAATGCAGCCGGGCTGGGCCAACCACCCTCACTGGCTCTAGATAGGAGCCCTTGGGACAAGAACAGGTAGCAGCTGTAGACAGGGTAGCTGAGGCTTCCTGTCCTGAGATGAAGCCTCGCCCCCACTTGGGTGAAGTTTTCCTGCTGGCTACTGGGGAGGGAGAGCATTTGATCAGCCAGGGCATAGCCCCTGCCAGGGAGTACAAAGCCCGGGTCAGACCAACCTCCCAGCAGGCCCAAACAGGATCCCGGAGAAAACCACAAAAGCACAAAGGGGTGGATCCAGGAAAGATCCATAGAGTGACACAGCCCCAGAACCCACAGTCTCTGGCTGCTCCCTTTGGCAAGCCCTCTGCCTGTCCCTCTCTTCTATGTGGCCAAGCCCTCCAAGCTACCACTACTTTGGTGGGTGTTCCAACTACCCTCACCATCCCGCCCAAGTGGCCAGTCCTCAAGAAGAGCAAACGACTGCTCTTGGAGTCCCTCATGCGTCGAAGGATTGCACATCTGAAGTGGGGCCTCCCCCGGCGCATCCTGGAGTCTTATTTGCTCTTTAGCTTCTTCGGATCTTGCTCACTCCCCTGGGCTGGGGTGAAGCTGCCTGAATTAGGCAAAGGCCAGGAGCTCCAAAGGCAGCAGGAAAAGCATTGTGAGGCCCAGGGCTCCATGCCAGGCTTTAAATCTCCAGAGAGGTTCCAAAGGGTTCTGCCCTCTGATGGGAAAAGATCAAAACTTCCTACACAGGCCAGGGCTTTGGAGAGGTGTAGACCACACAGGTCAGAGCCAACGGGCACTTCCATTCCACCTGAGAAACCCAGGAGAAATAGACCACCAGGGGGCGCCAGAGAACCACAAATCCAGGAAGAGGCCTCTAAGGCCAAACTCCCTGTTCCCAAGAATCCCAGGCCATGGGCAGAGTCTGTGAACTGGTGCTCCCCAGAAAGGGTACCAGAGCCTTCCAGTGAGAATAGTAAGGGCAGGAAAGTGATCATACCAGATGTCTCCCAGAAGGCAGAGAGGGCTCCCAGAGAAGTGAGGACCTCATCTTCCAGGGCCAGCCATGACCCCTGGAAGAAGGAGCACATACTCTGGGAGGCCTCTCAGTTTCCCAGACATAAATATCAGCAGCCCACACACTGGAGAAGAAAAAGCCTGGAGCCTGCAGAGGACAGAGGAGCTAGGCAGCTGCCTCCCTCCGTTTCCACAGACTCCTCCAGCATTAAAGGAAGTCTCTACTCTAAGACAGCCAAGCTGAGCATGACCCTCCTGCGTAAAATGTCCTGGTCCCCACAGCTGGCCAAGCCCAGGAACTCAGTCCCTAGGCTTTCCAGAGTGGGTAACCCTCATGCACGGGAGGACAGCATCAGAGTTCATACTGCTTCGGAGAGGGACCATCAACCACCAGGGCACTGTAGTGCTGGGGTTTCTCTTCCTAGGACAAAGACCCCCCAGGGTCAGAGACCCCATGGGGCTCCAAAGAATTCATCAGCTCCTAAAAAGTTTGGTTTTATGAAGCGTTTGAGATGTTTTCTCTTCCAATGTGGTCTTAAAAAGTAGGTTGCAGGCCCAGAGTCCTCAGGACTCATCAGAGAAGGCACAAGAGTGGTTTGCTCACCCTCAGAACCTCTAATAAAATTATTTGGGACCTGTAGGATTTACATTGCTTTGGCATATCATGTTTTCTGAGTGTCCCATTTTAGGGTTTGGAAGACTTTGTGTGTAAGGCAGAAATCACTTCAAGTCTGTGGTTTGTTCCTGTTCTTTGTCTGTCTGTCTCTCTCTCTCTACTAGGGATTGAACCCAAGGACACTATCATTACCATAGGGCTACATCTCCAGCCCTTTTTATTTTGTACGTTTGGCTTTTTGTTGTTGTTGTTGTTGTTGTTTGTTTTGTGTTTTGTTTTTTTGCAGTCACTGGGCATCAAAGCCAGGGTTTTGTGAATGCTAAATAAAAACTCTATCATTGAGCTATATCTCAAGCCCTATCTGTGAAATGTTAACAGACATTTTTCTGTGTTAATATTTACTTTTCTCAAACATAAAAGACTATTTCATAATCTTCCATTGAATAACAAAATTGAATAACAAAACTATTGTTTTCTAAACTACTCTGCCATGGAGAGCAATTTTTCCAATCACAGAGCCTTTGAATGCAGAAACACAGCTCTTGAACTTTTACCTCCTTCAACATTAACCAGTTTCTGGGCACATCTGTGTTAATGCCCTGTTGATTGTTGGCTTGTAATTGTTGATATATTCTATGGTAAAATATTTTCTTTTTCAGTATTGCTTGTGCACTCATATATTCCTAACTCTCCCTGATATAATTAAGGGAGTGCCTTACCTTCTTTGAGAGAAAGATGTCATCTTGTAAATTTAAAATAATACCAATAGCTTTTATATATATATCGACAGCTTCCTTCCTTCCTTCCTCCCTCCCTCCCTCCCTTCCTTCCTTCCTTCCTACTGGACACAGGGACTACCACTGAACTATATCCCCAGCGCCTTTTATTTCATTATTTTTTTAAGAATTTTTTTTTAACTTATTTTATGAGGTGCTGATGCTGGAACCCAGTGCCTCACGCGTGCTAGGCAGCCACAACCCCAGGCCCCTTTTATTTTTTTATTGAGACAGGGTGGCTACATTGCCCAGGCTGCCCTTGAACTTGTGATCCTTTTGCCTCCCTCTTCTGCGTTGGGATTACAAACAAGCACAGCTGTGCCTCTTTTTGTTTTTTAAAAATAAAAGCATTGTTTTCTTTCCTCCTTTTGGTAAGGCCGAGGGCAGCTACTTTATAATTGCTTTCAACCTTGGTGTTAGGGTTTGGATGAGAGGTGTCTCCAAAGGCTCATGTGTGAGACACTGCAAGAACATTCAGCGGTGACATGATCGAGTTGTGACAGCCTTAACCCAATCAGTGAACTAATCCCCTGACAAGGATTAACTGGGTGGTAACTGAGGCTGGCTGCATCTGGCCAGCGAGTCTCTGCCTCCCTCTGCCACACTCTTCCACCATGATGATCCGCCTCACGGCAAGCCCCTAGGAAGGGAGCCTGCTGTCCAGGGACTGAGACCTCTGGAACCATGAGACCTCCAAAAAACCATCCCTCCTCTAAAATTCTTGTCAGGCCTTCTAGTCACAGCAGCGAGAAAGCTGCCTAAACCACTTGGGTGTGGTGAGGCCAATTTCTGAGGCCCATAAGCACGCCTTCTCGGGCCTTGGATGGGCTCGCTGGGACCCCGCGGCGTGGTCAGGCAGCGCCGGCACGCACGCGCAGGCCGCACCTGCAAGTGCGCATGCGCCCAAACTGGGCGGGGAAAAGTGCGGAGCAGCGGAGCATGAGTGAGGAGATGGCTGTGAGACAGGCTGCAGCGGTGTCTGGGAGGGACGAAGAGGCGGTGCTGCTCCTGGAGAGGGTCCATTATCGACATGACCCGCGCTGGCTGCTGCCCGTGTCCCCACGGCTCTGCCTGGCCTGCGCGCTGGAGCTGCTGCCGGAGCGCGGCGTGTCGGTGCGGGCTGATCCCTTCCTTGGGCACCAGGGCTTGGGCGTTTGCTGGCCTGGGGTGGCCGCTGACCCAGCCAGCTCCCGCGGCCCCGGTTGACCTCCTCCTACCCAAGCCTGCCCACCCCGCCCTGCTTTAAAACACTTAAATTTTTTTTTCTTTAGTTGTCAGTGGACCTTTATTTTATTTATTTGCGGTGCTGAGGATCGAACCAGGGGCCTCGCACACGCCAGGCACGCACGCGCTTGCTGTACCACTCAGCCCCAGCCCTGCTTTAAAGCACTTTAAAAACGCCTGCAGTGCCCACGTGGAGCTGCAGCCCCTTTTCTAGAGCGTCCCCTGCCTGCTGGTGCTGTGCCAAGGAAGATTGGCCCGCGCGCCCTCCACCTGCCCTGCCCTCCGCGGTTCACTCCTTCCCCGCCTTAGCTCGGGCTTCCTCCTATGTGGTCTCGGCACCACCTTGTTCTCTTCAGCTATTTGAGGCCCCTGTGAGGGCTGGACCAACTGGCGGAAGTTCCAGCCAGTGGACAGGGTTGGCTCAATCGCCGGGCTCCTGGTTCCCTTAGTGCCTACCCACATTTGCGCTGAAAAAAAATTTTTTTTCCACTGGGAAACCCAAGAAGAGTGGGGGATCAATTTGCCTACAAATTCATAAGAAGGGAATTCCTATCTTGGGGTGCAGTGGGGAGTAAATCAGCTATTCTCAAATTTTTTGATCTTAGGATAGCCTTACAATTTTAAAACTTGTTGAAGACCCCAAAGAATTTTCATTTATATTGATAGTTACTGTATTTAAAATGAAAACAAAATTTAAAGATATGCATTCATTTAAAGTAACACTAAATTTATGTATTAAGGCAAGTAATTTTTGTATTCAACCTTTTTGAGTGTACAGGTCTGTGGCATAAGTAATTGTATTTTATTTTTTATATATATTTATTTTCAGTACTGGAGGTTGAACCCAAGGGTGTCTAACACTGAGCTATCCCCCCCCCCCCCAGCCCTGTTAATTTTTATTTTTAAGACAGGGCCTCACTAAGTTGCTGAGGCTTGTCCATTTATGATCCTCTTGCCTCAGCCTCCTGAGTTGCTGGTATTATAGGCGTGTGCCACTACATCTGACTGCATATATAATTTTTAAAAATATGTACATATATATTTTTAGTTGTTGATGGACCTTTATTTTATTCATTTATTCATATGCAGTGCTGAGAATCAAACCCAGTGCCTCACACATGCTAGGCAAGCCCTCTACCACTAAGCCACAACCCAGCACTGCATAAGTAATTTTTTTTTTTTGAGAGAGAGAGAGAGAATTTTTTTTAATATTTATTTTTCAGTTTTCGGCAGACACAACATCTTTGTATGTGGTGCTGAGGATTGAACCCAGGCCGCTTGAGCCACATCTCCAGCCCTGCATAAGTAATTTAAAAAATAAAAACTATTTTGGCTGGTGGCCATCCACTCTTAGAACAAACCAAACTAGCTCATAACCCTGATTTCACTAAGGGCAGGATTTCTGAGGCTGCAGTTTTTGGACAGTGAATCAGAGATAAATAAGACTGTGCAGTAGGGGAGAAGATAAAACAATACTTTATGGAAAATATAGAAGAATGGACATGTTTGTTGTCAAGTACAGTGTAAGGTAGGGAGGGATGCCACTGGAAATGCTTCTTAGAGGAGGAAACTTTCAATTAGGCTTAAATAGATGGGTGAAGTTTGGAGATGGGAGACTTATCTCAGGAGGTAGGTAGCTATATTGTGTTAGAAGGGACATTGAAGAAGTTGAGATTAGGAGAGCCAGGTTGAGATTACTACTTTGAAGAGTTTGTATCTGAGGTAAGGAGCTTGAACTTAAATCTGTCAGTGAAGGGGAGTTATTAAGACTGTGTTTTGAGTAGCACATTTAGATCATTAGCTTAATCTGTTATGTAGGATGAGTTGGTAAAGCAAAAATAGGAGACTTAAAAGCATAGGTTAGAGGCAATGAGATATTCCTTCTCCACCTTTTATTGAGTTAGTTTGTTTATGTATTTCTTTATGTTTTGTAGTATTGAGGATTGACTCCAAGGCCTTGCACATGTTAGGCAAGCATTCTACCACTGAGCTCTACTGTTGGCCCTTTTTATTTTATTTTGAGACAGAGTCTGGTTAAGTTGCCAAGCCTGGACTTGAACTTGCAATCCTCTTGCCCCAGCCTCCTGGAGTGTTTGGGCTCACTGACACATATTACTGCTTGTGGATTTGGGGATTGAACCCAGGACCTCATGCATCCCCAGCCCACAAAATGTACTTTTTTCTTAACTTCAGCTCTCACCAATTGAAGGAGTAATGTAGTCCATTGTACCATGTTCCTGTCCTATCCTTAGGATTCATTTTTTTTTTTTTTTGTGGTGCTGGGGATCGAACCCAGGGCCTTGTGCGTGCGAGGGAAGCACTCTAACAAATGAGATATATCCCCAGCCCCATCTCTTTTTTTGACCTAACTATTTAGCATTTTGCATAGCTGCTACTCAGTTACCTGTATAGGGAAGGGACTTGAGGGTAAGAAGTTATGCCTACATTGAATGGAAGGATGTTCTTTTCTGTACCTAGCTCTGGAAGCTTATGAATGATCCCTGAGCAAGAACTGGTGAAGATTTAGTTTTGAGTCCTTGGGAAAGTCTAAGTCTTTGTTTTCTCATCTCTGAAATGGTGATAATATTTTTTTTTCTTGCTTCATTAACCTGTTAGGCTTAAATGAGTTGGTGGACAAAAGAATGATTTGTGAAGAGTAAAGTGCTATGTAAATACAGGATAAGAATCTCAGCTTGCATATAATTCAATGTATGAACACATGAATTCCCTAATTGAAACAATGCTCTTGCTCCCTGTAGGGAGTATGGATCTCGTTGTAGTTTAGATGACCACTCTAATACCATCTTGTAATTGTACTTGGGAATTCCAGTTGGGTTCAGAATGACTGAGATTTGATTGCTGTTGAATGTTTTTCTCTATTTGCTCAAAGTTGGTGCGCAAGAAGTATGTGTTATCCTGCTTTCGAGATGCCCTTGTGAGGCATGCCTCCCTGGTCACACAGCTGGTGGCTCAGGATCAGAGAGTCTGCATTCACTTCATAAATATCCTTTTTGGTGAGATTAAAAGGAAACTTAGCATGACTTTTGTGTGGATAGCATGTGTATTTATTTTTGGGGATCTTGGGGAATGATCTTGGGATAATGATTTAGACTTTTTGTATTATAACAGTTTATCAGCCCATTGTTTTGTCATAATGATGGAGATATGGCCCCCTTTCAAAGATAGGTGATACAGCTATCTTTTATGGTAATTAGCCTTACTAGATCTAAAAGGTTAGTAAAAATGTGAAGATGAGTATGGGAAATACATAATTCTTCAAAGAGTGCAGTCTAGATTTTTCACAGGATCAGAAGGCTTGGAATGGAATTGGCTGCCCTTGATGTGACTGATCAAGTTAATTCACTTCTCTTGTGCCTTACAAACATGTTTCTCCTGTGCCTGAGGGAACACATGCTTCTTCATGTGTAAAATGAAACAGATTAAATTGTACCTGAGGTCTCATCTTTTAATATGATTTTGATTTCCAGTGGAATGAATCATTTTTGGGAAGAGGGCATTTAATTTGTATTGGGTGCTTCTCTATGTTAGAAGCTTTTCAGCCTTTTCACTGCCAAGGCAATATTTAAGGAAGATAGGATGATCCTCAAGGCTCAGGGAGGTCATAAACAAATGGCAGAGCTGGAATTTTACCCTAGATCTGTCACAGACTCTAGAGCACACAGTTTTTCTGCTGTGCCACATTAACAGTTCTCATCTTTTTAAAGCTAGAGTAGGTCATTGAAATTCTAAGTGTTTGATGTTAAGGGTAGAATTTAACTGGGACATTGCTTAAGGTTGCTAGTTTTAGAATCTGCAGCATAGCTTTGTGGGTTTGTTTCTCTTAAAAGAGAACCATTAACCACTCTTTTATTACTTCCCTCTGCGCCAAGGACTGTTATGCAATGTAGAAGATGGGAATGTAACAGACCTCTGTATTGAAGGTAAGGTGAAACTGCATTGAAATCTGGGAGTATTAACTTGAATTGTAGCTTCATTACTTGTGAAATTGCCCAGTTAGAGACAGATAAGGAGAACTCAATTAGTTGTTAATCATTAAAATTCTACATTTCTTTATTGGGCATCTACTCTGTGCTAGATACTATATCAGGCTAGGGATATATAGATGGATAAGATGTGGTCTCTGCCTGCTAAGAGTTTACAATTTGGAGAAGAGATTGATTGGTAAATAACTAGTTGGTTAGTGCTATTATAAAGACACGGTACTAAACTTTTTTGTTTGTTTTTGCCATGTTGGGGATTGAATCTGTGGCCTTGTATGTGCTAGGCAAATATTCTACCATGCTTGAGCTACATCCCCAGCCTAACTATTTTTATTTTTATATTTTCACATTGATTTATTGAAATTTGTGTGCACACAGATGGTGATTAAAGCTGAGGAAGTGCATATGTTAACTTATAAAGGGGCCCATAGAGAAAGAAGTCAAGAGCATTGGGTGGGTGGAGTCTTATAAAGAGAGAACTATACTGTTTAGGATCCAGGAACCATACCAGTTATTGATTTCTTTGGTGGGGGGTACTGGGGATTGAACTCAGGGACACTCAACCACTAAGCCACATCTCCAGCCCTATTTTGTATTTTATTTAGAGACAGGGTCTCACTGAGTTGCTTAGTGCCTTGCTCTTGCTGAGGCTGGCTTTGAACTCGTGATCCTCCTGCTTCAGCCTCCTGAGATGCTGGTATTATAGTCATGTGCCACTGTGACAAGCCTATACCAGTTATTTTTTATTTTCATGTGGTGCTGAGGATCGAACCCAGTGCCTCACACTTGCTAGGCAAGCACTCTACCACTGAGTCACAACCCCATACCAGTTATTTTTAAAAATGTTTTTTTAGTTGTAGATGGACACAATGCCTTTGTTTATTTTTTTAATGTTGTGTAAGACAAATGCTCCATTACTGAGCTACAACCTCAGCCCCCCATACCAGTTATTTTAACAGGGGGAAAATACTTCAAAGAATTTTTGAATTGTTAAATAGATAACTGAAGAGGCAAAAATAAAACAAGTTTTTATAGATTTAGCAATTACAGAAAGTTGCTTCTACCTCTGAGGCTGGGAAAGCAAAGAGAAGAGACTAAAAAGTTAAAACTCAGAAGTATGGAGGAGGGGTCCCATATATGAAACTCAGGGGATGCTACTTGGATGTTGCTGGGTCTTTGAGTTTGGAGGAAGGATCCCAGGAGGATCGTGAGTTCAAAGCCAGCCTCAGCAAAAGCAAGGTGCCAAGCAACTCAGTGAGACCCTGTCTCTAAATAAAATACAAAATAGGGCTGGAGATGTGACTCAGTGGTCGAATGTCCCTGAGTTCAACCCTGTACCCTAAATAAATAAAGGGAATAAATGAGCGATGATAAAACAAACCTCGGAGCTTGGGGATAACACCTGCATGGCATCTGTGGCAATAGATAACTGGCACACTGACCTTCTCATAGTTACACAAAGGTAGCCCTGCCCTAGACCTCCTGCCCAAGGCATGAAGCTGGGAGTGGTGTCAGAAAAGGATTTTTAATAACATGAAAAAAAGGAGAGGCTGCCATTTCTTTATCCCTTGGCCTGAGTAGAATGTTCTCCCATGTGCACGTCTCAGCCCTCCCTCCCCCACGCACACACACACACACACACACACACACACGCACACCTTTACTCTGACAGAGGAGCAAGGACTGGCCACTTGCAGGCAGTCTGGACTCCCCGTGGCTGTCCACAGCCTGCAGCAGGCCCGAGCGCAGCACATTCTAGCTCCTTTGCTGGGGACCCTCTGCCCTTACCTGAGGGGACACGGGGAGGTCTGAGCCCAGCGTCTCACCTCAGAAGGGCAGGCCCGGCTGTGAAGGCAGCAGCCTGAAGGACTGTCCTCCTCTCACTTCCGCAGGAGGGAAGGGACCCAGCTGCCCATTCGACAGCCCCGCTGTCACGCGCTGGCTGCCGGCAACATCGTAGCAAAGTAAACGGAGACACTTTTATTTTGGCATTGGGCTCCCTGACCTGAGAAGACTCTGCTCTAGTGTCCAGTTGTGACCGCAGTCCTCTGGCCTGGGACCCAGCCCTCGGGGGGGGGGGCACTCACCTGTTAAAAGGGATATATCTGGGGGAAGAGGGTTGAAATGAAGGTGGTTCTGGAAAAACTACAGACTGTATTCAGCTGTTGTTATGGGAAGGCAGCCATATTGCCTGAATAAAGAAGTGTTAGGCCAATACTCATAGGACTAGGAAGCAGACAGTAAACAAACAGTAAAGCCAGATGAAACAAAGAGGAAGGAGTAGGTCCCTTCTTCCTACAAGTTGCCATCTCTTTCTGTTGCCTGTTGGCAGAACTTAATGGGGGCCAGCTAGCAAAGAAATGTGGTTTGCAGAGTTTCAACCCCAGTATCCCAAAGAGAAGTATAGAAGGATGGTATCATAGCTTGGATCTGGAATGTCCCCCAAAAGCTCATATGTTGAAGACTTAGTCCCAGCTGGTGATACCATTGGGAGGTAGTAGAAATTTTAGGAGATGGGGCCTAATTGAAGGAAGGAGGTCATTGGGGGCATGTCCTCAAAGGGTTTATGTTGTGCCTTCCTCTTTTCTCTCTTTGTTTCCCTCTGTTTCCTGGCTGACGTGGGATAAGCAGCTTTTCTCTGCCATTGATTTCCACCATGATGTGCTGTCTCACCACAGGCCCAGAAACAATGGAGCCAAGTGACTATGGATTGAAATCTGATTTTTTTTTTTTTTTTTGATGGTGCTGGGCATTAAACCCATGACCTCACACACATGTCAAGAAAATGCTCTACCACTGAGCCCCGTCCCCAGCTCTGGATTGAAATCTCTGAAACCATGAACCAAATAAATAAATCTTACCTTTTTTTAAGTTGTTTTTATCAGGTCTTTTGTCATAGCAATAGAAAGCTGAGTAACAGGGCTGGGATTGTGGCTCAGCGGTAGAGTGCTCGCCTAGCACGGGCGAGATCCGGGTTCGATCCTCAGCAACACATAAAAAATAAATGCATTGTGTTGTGTCCATCTACACCTTAAAAAACAAAAAAAAAGAAAAAGAAAGCTGACTAACACAAAACTGGTACCAGAAGTGAGATGTTTGCCGAGATTATATCTGACCATGTGGTTCAGAAGCCTTTGGAACTGGGATTTTGGGAGGAGTTTGGAAGTGCAGGATAGAGAAGCCCTAAAATGTAAGCAGAACTGAATGAAAGATTCTGGTGTGAGCTTGGAAGACCAGACGGCAGATATGAATATAGACCATAAAGAGGGCTCATGAGATTTTTAAGATGGAAATGAGGACTCCATTGGGAATTGGAGTAGAGACCATATGAGTTAAACTATGGAAAAGAACTTGTTTATATTTTGTTTATGCCCTGAGACTGTGTGAGGCTAAGTTTAAAGATGATGAACTGATTAGTCTGATGAAGGAAATTTCAAGACAGCACAACATTCAAGTGGTAGCATGGGTATTGTTAGCTTTATTCAGAGTTTCAGTAAAAATCAAGAGCAAAGAACAGAATAAAATGTTTTGAAAAACTTGCAGTTTGGCAGAAAAGAATTGCATGTAAATTAAGGCCAAGGAAAGTGTCATTACTGAAGAGATTAGCACTGTTAAAAGGAAGCCAAGTACTTTGCACCAGGACGGTAGGAAAGATGCCTTGAGAACATCTCTGGAATTGACCAAATCCCACCCATCCAGATTCAAGGGTATAAAAGTTTAAACTTTTGAAAGGCTTTGCTTCAGTAAGAGAGCACTGGAGTGTCTTGCTTTCCGGGCCTCATAGAAAGTTGTTTCCTCAGGATTTCTTTCATCATACTCAGCCATCCAGGGCTCAGAGATTGCTGTAGCCATGGTCCAGTGGGGTCTGGCTTCTGCTTTTTCTGGCATCCGACACTGATGTCATCCATGTGGTGTTGATTTTGCAGGCATGAAGAATGAAAGAGTCACTGGGCTTCCATAGGAAAGCCTGAAAAGCTAGGCAGTATGTGCAGGGTGGGAGTCCCCCAGGTGTTCCCTGAGAGGGCAGTATATGAAGCTGTGAGAGTGAAGCAGAAGCCACAGTGAAGAACCCAGTGCATTAGATAGGCCAGGAACATGAGGAAAGCTGCAGACAATGACCAAAGACAGCCCAAATAAGTGATCATGTGGCCTGTAGCTGGCAAAGCTGTAGGGGCAGGCTGCCCAAGCCCTATGGAGTTCACACCGTGTCACCTGTGTGCTCCAGTGCAAGACATGGAGCTACGGACTTTTTTTCCCTGCTTGATTTGGTCTTGCTTTGGTCTGGCCCTTCCTTATTATTCTGTTCCTCCCTTTTGGAATTGGAATGTTTTCCCTATACCATTGCATGTTGGAATTATATAACTTGTTTTTAATGTTTTTTTTTTTTTTTTTTTTTTTGGTACTGGGGATTGATCCCAGGTGGACCTACTATTGAGCTACATCCTCAGTCCTTTTTAATTTTTAAAAATTTTGGGCCATACTGGGGATTGAACTCAGGGGCCCTTGGCAACTGGGCCACATCTGCAACCCTATTTTGTATTTTATTTAGAGATAGTGACTCACTGAGCTGCTTAGCATCTCACTGCTGCTGAGGCTGGCTTTGAACTTGCGATCCTCCTACCTCAGCTTTTGTAGCTGCTGGGATTACAGGCATGTGCCATTGTGCCAGGCTAAATTTTTTAAAATTAAAAAAATAATAATTTTATTAGTTATTGATGGACACAATGCCTTTATTTCATTTGTTTATTTATTTATTTTATTATTTTTTAATATTTATTTTTTAGTTGGACACAATACCTTTATTTTGTTCATTTATTTTTATGTGGTGCTGAGGATCTAACCCAGGGCCTTGCATGTGCTAGGCGAGCACTCCACTGCTGAGCCACAACCCTAGCCCCATTTGTTTATTTTTTATGTGGTGCTGAGAATTGAACCCAATA